TAAGCGATGCAACGCTTTATTAACGTCGTCCACTTCAAACGTAGACCGTCAAATCTATTTGTTTGATTTTAAAATCAACAATGCTCTGCAAACCGCAGTCAAGTTGGCCTTAAAATAGAAGCAATCCAATATTTCCATCATTTCACAACAGCTATATTTTTTGTTAAGCCTACAAGGGGTAAATCGTGCACGATGTTGAGTTGGTCTTGAAATTGAATGTGTCAGTTGGGGCCATGACTAGCTAGCGACGTGCTATTATCATAAGAGCGTTTGATGCAGAAGATTCATCAGCGAAGTTGGTTGCAACAAGGCCGAATCTCGATGCCGCTGAAAAGAATCAATTTGCAGTCTACAGAAATTGATAAATTGATTTCGTGATTGAAAGCACTCGTACACAAAGGACACTCATTAATTTGCACAAAAGGTGTTTACCCGCAGGTTCGTTCACTTACTTAATTTGCGTGATTACTTCATCCATTTAAGTCCCAGATATCTGACTTGAAACTGAAAAAGAGCTCAGCCCAAAATTTCCCATATGAAATCAGTACATTAGATACGAGACCTCGAACAGCTTCAAAATACTTACCGTAACAAATTGACCATGGAAGGCACTGATCGCGGGGATCAGTGCAGCGATGAACGCTGTGTACTTTGAGCTCGTTGATAAGTCATTCAATTTGTAAAGAAGAGCAAAAAATATTTAGGTTTTGCAAGACTTAGTTTGACCATGATCGTAGACGTCCGTGTGATAGACTAGACGTCTCAGTTCATCGTTTGACACATCCTAAATCGGGGAATCCCCACAATTGTCATGCAGCTATATCAACAACAGTTGAGAGTTCGTTAGGTAGTCTGACAGCAACTCAGTTACAAACGCACCAGACAGAGAAACGGTTATGTGTATTTGGAAGCATTATTCGTAAATGAAGGCTCCTTTTTCGTATATCTTTCCATGAAAAAGGTAAGACTTAAAGTTGGATCTCACATTCAACGCATCTATTCGGCAAATATTGACTTGCAAAGCTCTGAAGCCCTGCCGTTGAAGTTCTTGTTTTGGCGCGCAAATTTAACGGTCGGTTTTTAACTTTGTAGTTTAGCTCTGTTCGATCACCACAAATGTTCAGCAAAATCGATTTTTTTACTGTTAATTTCCATCGACTTAGAGCTTAAAAGCAGGAGTTAGAAATTTTCACCTCCCAGAATATCCCAGAATACCTATTCGAACAAATTTTTAATCACAAAACTATCCGTTATACTTGAAGGACCTTGAAAAATCCACAAAATCGCCCGCCAAATTTTCTAATTTTCAAGAGGACCGGACCAGAGCAACTCATTCGGTACATTTACAGCTGTAAGCAACAATGGTATGCATAGAAATACCTTTTTTATCGACAGAGTGTGTCAAACATTTATGGCAATTTGTTAAAATCCGGATAGAGTTGAAATTGATATTGACTCCGGCTGCCACTGTAAGAAAATACTAACTTTGGCAAACGTTTTGTATCGAAACACTTCTCGAATAAGAAAGCATCGATGGTCGCTGTGGAGGAAGGTTATATCTTTTAATTTCTCTTTGAAGAATTTAATTCTTTCGGGCACGCCTTTTCCAAATATAACTCGTCTGGAATGATCTATGTTCGCCCCAACAAAATGAAAAGTTGGCAAATTAACTTACCTCTAATTAAGACTTTTTCCACATTAAACATAATTGAGAAAACTGAGAGCAAACCCTCCATTCATTTTTTGAAATTATTACCAACGTTTTCATTTCTGAGCTTTCAGATTCAGAGAACAGTGTACATATTCTTCAGTTTTTAATGATTTTTCTAAGGATATTTATTGTGGAATTTTAATCGCCAAATAATTTCCCGTCGAGTCTTATACGGTAATGAATTTGTCGCCAGTTGGGTGGGTGTATAATCTGGCTTAGCGACGTTACTTTCATTTTAACTAAGAATGATCAGAAGTTTAGCTCGCTGTCTGCTTGAACTTCGAGCATCCTACTGACTGTGTGCGTGCACGCTTTTCGACTCTAACCTTGATGAAAAGGGTTTTATTAAGAAAGTGCACATTTTGTCGTACGTTGCGTCAGTCAGTTTTCGTTCGGAAGGGACCATACCTAGAATAACCAATCGGCTGATCTAATTTGCTTCAGATACATCAGCGTATAAACCCCACAAACTAGTAACCTATTGGAAAAAAAAGGAAACTTCTTTTACAATACTTTCATAAACAATTGTCATGATACAGTGCTGCAACAAAATTAACTGCTGTGGCCAATATTTTCCTCTTTGATTTCTCCGAGATGAGTGACACTCTGCTAACCATATGCCTCTCAGCTAGCCAGTTAACGTGCGGAAAAGTACTATTCACTTATGTGGTAAATGCTTAATGGCTTAAAACCCATGAGACTGGTAAGATTTACCAAACTGCCTTCCCAGTAATGATAAACAAGCCATTAGCGATATTAAGTGCAGTTACAGAATCCAGGGAAGAATATTAAAAGCACATCTGCATGAATACTTTCAATTTTGCTGCGACCATCTAAGTGGCATATCTAACCACACTTTAATTTTTGTTCTGTTGTTTTTAAACTTTGTGGATCATTATTGCTTGTGGAATGGTGTTATGAAGAAAAGGCTCTATCAGACTGAGAATGTTTAAGCAAGTCGCTCGAACATATATACACACGCACGCACTTTTGGCGATCAACACTTTGGCTTCAGTTTCGAAAGAAAGTGTTTATAATATAGCGTTTTTATCTGTATTGAATAAAAACCAATCTCACTAATTCGCAGACTTCTGGCACCCTCTTATCTGAATTGAGCACCTACCTATAATGCTCCAAATATGCTGAGAGGGAATTTTCCAAGGGTTATGATTACCGTCCTTAAAAACATTCATCGTTGCCAACATTGTCTCATCTCTGCGGAGAAGTCTCTACACATGGTGAAATAGTTTGAATATTGTCACTGCTCAATTTTTTTTCTTCTTTTTTTCATTTTATTTTTCCAGGATCGTTATTTCTATCGGTGCTATCCTAATTGCCTACGTTAGCACTAAACGTAAGTGAAGTAAAATTCTATTTATGCTAACTGATGCTGTAAGCATAGCCTGCGTTGCTGGCGGTCTGCGGTTTAGGGTATCGGGGAGAAAAATGAAAGGTCTTTCATTTTCCTCTCCACCCCCAAAACCGCGGGCCGCTAGCAACGTAAGCTATTGTAAGCATTTATTCCTGTGTTTATTACTTGTACTTCTATATATTTGAAGTATTGACTTGTTCACATAATATCAACTTTTTGGAACGCCTGAAGCATTTCCCTTTCCCGTGTTCCGATCGTTCTTGTCATGTTCCAGTTACTTAGGACTAATTTGGTGAACTCAGAGTAATTTGTGATGACGTATGGAATGCACATATATATTCCAACACTTCATAATACAAAATGATGCTATGTAAGCAGCTTTGAAATTTCCGCATGTAAAATTTTGGATCAGCGTTTTCTTCAACGAATACGGTTAAAACTGTTTAGTACCATTTGCCTTAGTATATGAAATGGTTTGCGAGGAGCTTCTCCAATTATCGTGTATGGACACACATTTGTAAATGAACACTCGTCAAACTCCTTCATTGTTAACCGTTCTCGCTGCTTTCTGGTTCAATTGTCCACTTTCAGACTCCGGCATTCTTGCTTCTGAAGAAGAATTTTTGGTGAAGTTCAGTCGAGGCAATTTTGTTTGTTTTTACAAAACGTTTTCAGAATATTTCTACGTACATGTAGCTTCTTTAGTTTCGCGAAATAACAAATGCAAACAAGCGCGGTGAATTTCCAGGAATTAAAATTCTGCTACTGAGCGGAGCACCAAATAGAGCAGTAACCCAAAGCACCAGCCATATGATATAAGCTCGCAATCTCATCTCTAAGACCCAAACAAGCATGTAATACTAGCAAACAAATTTACTTGTGCAATGGTACAGTATGTTGATGATCTAATCAATGGTTTCCTAAACATGTTTGGAAATTTGGAAGACAAAAGATAGAAAACATTTTCCCACAAGTAACTAGGTAGCTGTTTTTGAATTAGATAAGGAATGCTCGATTTAAAGTTTGCACAGGAGCTGTTGCGTTGGCAGTCATCGTTATATGCATGCGCAACAAATACAAATAAGTGAAACTGCTGTAGTATTACGAACATTTCCTGTGGGATTTTCTTATATCTGAGATGATCCATCGAGAACACCTCTCTAAACGTTTGATTGTGAAATTAGCACGAACTAATGATTGAAACAACCAAAAGTAACTTCCTCTGAATCCTGAAATCGTCGATAACCCAAGGCAAAAGAAAATTAGTCTCTTCCTTCGAGTTTTCGTTCTCATAGATAAGTCGTTACATGAAAAGATAAAAGGGGTAAGTTTTTAAAGAAACTGTGGTGCGGCGTATTTGAAAATTTGACTGAGAAAACTAGCCATCGTAAAGATTTTCTACGGCTGAATTTTCGAGCGTTGCTTAGGGTTAGGGTTAGAAAGTTACTTAAAAAGGAAAATACGCAGTTATTTATAGATGCTAACGATCGCGGAAGTAATTTGACACCTCTCTGCGTTGCTTCATCTTTGTCTGAAACCTAAATTTGGATGATTGATCAGCTTAAGGTTAAAAAGTCCATCGTTATGATTTCATACCCTATTACATAAATAAATCAGCAGATATTTTTTACTCGAGTGATCAAATGGAAGTATTCTAAGTCAATTACATGAGGTACATTTTCGTTCTTGGCGGAGCATGCGCAGGCCACACGGAAAAAAAAGTCAATCAAAATTCATATTTCTAGGAAACGGTATGCTTTCTGCGAAAACCGTTCAAGAAACGTTATCATTTCCTATTGGCTTTTGGTTTTTTTAATAACTAAAGCTATCCAATGATGACCAAGGCGTATAAGTTCTGAGAAATCGATTTCATACTTTGATTGCAAAAGCGACATATCTTGATAAGGAAGTAAATTGTGTTTCACTATCGCTGTGGCTGATTTTCATTAAAACTGGATCCTCACCGTGTTAACTTGAGCCAGAGAATCATACGCATTACTCCAGTCTGTTTGGAACTAAGCAGAGGAGGTTCGTTTGTAGATTTGATTTGCTTCCGGGTTTAAAATGCAAGCTAATTACTTGCTTCCGTCTAATAGTCAGTATGATAAGTTATATTCGAGTAAACGAAATCTTACAAACAAGAAACCAAAGTTACCTGGTTATTACCTCAGAAAAATCTCGTACTATCCCGAGTCTAGTTGGAATTATAGATTATCTTTAACTGTAACTACGAATCGTCACAGTAGTTACGCAGGTAGCTTTTGCAAAGAGAATAACCCCAACATACTTCTTATTGACAGCGTGACCTAGGGACTAAAGGAAAGTTTTTTTTACTCTGCTCAGTAAGCTCGGTCCAGTTAAGATTATGGCGTGCTTTTTCACATTAGTTATCTTCGATGCTTCGTTTCGTCACGCAAGGCTTCCACTGGAAAGAGATAAGACGCAGCAAGTTATAACAACAATTAACTCATCTGCGAAGGCAACTATTGTACGTGTTTTAGTGTTCTTCGTGAAAATAGACAATCAAGAATCACGGAAACGATTTAAGAACATTACATTTCTAACACAAGAATGGACTTACATTTCGTTACTAACTCGAATCTGGTCTCCGTTCGAGGAGAAACATCTACTTTATAAAGCTAATTTATTAGTGCGTACATGTATGTCCACACATAGTGTCCAGGCAAAACTAAGCTTCACTGAAAGGGACGGTATTTATGTTCATGCTGCTCTCTGCTTAAAGCGCGTGAGCTTGGTTCAAAAACTTATTTCCTTAAGTAATGGCCCTATCTCAAATTATCCACACTTCTATTGTTTACTTCGATGATTGGCTAGTTCGGAAGCAGATACTATTCACCTTCGAGCGGCCGATGAGACAAAGTCGCGCGTCAAGAGTTTAATTTCCGAGCATTCTTCGGTATATCGAATGAAATGAACTAATTTTTTGGTATCTGTGTGGTATACACTTAAAACAATTAATCACCTCAGTGTTAGTGGAGGTGGTGGATATTTACATCGTCGCTTCGCGGCTCGGTAAACATCCACCACTATTCATCCCCACTTCAGTGAATAATTGTTAACTAAATGAGAATAAATTGTTTTGAAAAGAGAAGTGAATGATAACTCACCATTGAAACTTCTCGAAGCATGGATAGATAGCATCCTAAGAAAAATAAGACGTTTAATAGTTCTGTTCTTAATCACTGAAGAGTGGATCAGATAAACATCACGCAGTCTAGCTAAGTTAACACTTCCTGTGGTGTATCAGTCGTGTAGATTCAGTTAGCTTTGAAAATAAGTTTCCAGGTAGTCAAAGGAAAATTCCGTTCATGACCTAGAAATATTTCTGATAAGCCAGGACACAAGCTCCCCATACATGGGATGAATCCTCATTTTGATGCTCGAATGCAATACGCCCTAACAGAGAAATGGAAAGAGTATCACGTGATGGTCATTTTGACCAGTTAAATTCGTTCGGGGAATCCCCTACTTAGAACTTTGCTTTCCAATCTTGAAGAGGACGCCATATTTGCCGTCTCTCGCTAAGCTCTTGCTCTTCTCTTGTTCGAAAACCCCGACGGAAGGGCGTCGATTGGGTATTTTTATCGGTATTTTTTATCATTTTTTCAATGTATGCAATCGGAAATATTCCTTACCGAGGTTACGGAGTATTTCAGCTAAAAATACCAATCTTTCACTCGATACGAACGGGCTGCGACAGAGATAGATACAAGATGGCGGATCGTGGATTTTGGCATGGATAGCGAGCGAGCCTCCAGTAAAGGTATCGTCCAGTTTTTGTGATCAGTTTAATACTGTAAATTGGTACGCGAAGGAATGCAACGATATTTTAAGAAATTTCATAATCGTGTGGTATAAACTTCCTTTGTAGTCAGTTATTGCGGAAGATTTTGGAGGGAAAGCACCCTTTGATTAATTCAGATGCCTTCCCACGCAGATTATGAATGCAAGGCTTTTTCGCTCTCTACCTAACAGTTCAGCCGTGTATCTTTTCTAATTGGATTTAAGAACAATTTTCCAATGTTTCTTTATATTACGTTTCGGCGATACGATAGTAAATCGTATGGAAACTTTGCATTTTCAGGTTCAAATGTAAACGTGTAAACAGATATGATTGTTCTCGAAAATGTGCAATTTAAGCACTTTTTTAACATTTCCCTCTAGTTTCGGGTCTAATTTAGAAAGCATTGACGCAGCTTTGCAGTGAGAGTTTATCATAAATGAAACCAAATTTTGCAGTCACTCTGTGCGCTCAAAATTACTTTTGTCTTATGAACTGAGTTGTTTTAACATCCAGGGAAACACGATGCTTATAATGCATATTTATGTCGCTCCTACAATCTCATTTTCTTGTCGTTATTTCCTGTTCGTAAATCCTAATTGATGATGTCATCTTCCTTTATTGAAAAGCACATGCTTCCTGTAGAATTTTTAGTCGCATGAAACAACATTTGAAGTTCAAATTTTAAATGTGTTTGAAGATTTGGCGGTTAGGAAGTTTTCCGAGCTATGCATCAATCGACTAAATTAAACGGTAAATTTTGGTTAGGAAGAGCATACTGTTTACCCCTAATATTGTGTTTTAAGAATCAGACCAACATTTTTCATTACTCAAAGAACAATCATTCAAGTTACACAAGATTTTGGATTATAATTTTTGTGGAATATCTTCAGGTTACCATTTACTCTATCTTTGGTCGTTTGATATACTACAGAAGACTTTTTTTGTTCTACAATGCACTTTGTTTCATTTACTCGTGTACTTGTTAACAAGGATGCAGAGGGAGAGAGGATTTTTTTATTGGTTCAGCTTAATTGGAGATACACTGTAAAAAGCCTTTTATCAAAGTAGAAACATTTGACAAAGATGGGTGTTGTGACAGTACTTAAAAATTTTATCAAGCCACTTTCAGAAAAAAAATGTGCCTATGCATTGCATGCACATCGTTTTAATTATTACATTAATTGTATTAAATAGTTTGAATTGTTCTTTATTTTTTCAGACTGGAAACAAGCAGGAGTAACTCTGGATTAATTCACCAACCAAAAATAGATATTTGAATTGCAATGACAGACATATCAGATGATTCAGACACTTCAAATCCGTCAGCAAAATTACAGAGAGAGATCACAAAATTAAAGCAAGAGAACAAAGTTCTTCATATTCGTGCACAAGGAGTGGAAGTGTTAGGTAATTGTACTTGTACATGAACTGGAATTTTTGAGTTACTTTAAGTTGAGATACCTTTATGATTAAAAAAAATTGTAGAAATACCGAGGAGAAGTTCAATACATGGTGCCTTTGGAGTCTTCGTATGTTTAACCAAGTGTGTCTAATAAGGTCTGGTATCAGCACTTATAATTATGCTAATCTGGATTGTGATTGAAACTATTCAAGGTATTCATAGTTGGATGACATTTACAGGCATGGGCAAGTTTACCTCTGAAGTAATGCCTTTTGCAATTATGATTATAATAAATTCATAAATATAAAATGTCCAAAGTATATTATATTTTTGATAAGTACACCACACTTTAATGAACATGTCCCAGTCATTGGCCAATGCTCAGAACGAGCTTACTAACCACAAGTCTGGCTCATCCCTCAGATACAATGCAGTTTGATGAGTAACAATTCAGTCTTATCCTTTTTCTTCAACTTATGCCTGCATGTTTATCAGGTAAAGTTCTTCAAGATTCCCAAGAAAGCAATACCAAACTAAAAGAAGAGGTTAGAGAGTTGAAAACCCTTCTAGACCAAAGAGGCATTGATGCAGCTTTAGCTGATATCTCAGTCAGCACTTCAGTAAATGATGACAGCCAGGACACAATAAAAGATCACGGAGAAAGATATTACTCATCTATGCTTGGGAGAAGTTCACAAAGCCATGACTATGTTAATGTCACGACAGTTTCAGGACCCCAGTCACTGCCTGCAGAATTTTCCTCCATCTTATGTGGAGATTTTCACATCAAGGTATTAAATAATGCTATGATGCAGAACTAACAGTTGGTTTTTAGTTTCTCTTCGACTCATTTATTTCAGACTTTGGAGAATGGAGACTGGATGGCTGCTCCTAAAGAAACCTGTACTCGCAAAATGAATGAACATCATTCAACAATTATGTTGTGTTGACTTTTCTTGACCACATTGCAGTACTAACATATATAGTGTGTCTCTGATTGTTGAGAAAAGATACTGTAAGAATCTATGTCTAAACTTTTTCACTTTCGTACCCATGATCTAAATATCAATTCAAGGTACAATCTGCCATACATTTCTTAAAAATTTGCCTAGTTTATTATACTTTTCCTTCTTGACATCTTTTGTTCAGCAAATGTAATGTTGGTATAAGGCAGAGCATAGTACAATTAGGAAACCTGCTCTAAAACTCTAATTGGAGGGAGGGGGGTTGTGAGTTGGGTTGTGAGTCACGAGGAACAAATTTCTTATTTTAGAGGATAAAAGATACTCGGAAAAAAGTAGACAAACCACTTTATTCAGAATTACTTTTCTCATTCAATACTTAGGGTGTGTATTTGTTTGTGGTGTGAACACTGCATGGTGTGGTTTAAACTATTCTTGGCTGAACATTTTTCAAACCAATTTCATTTTAAATGTTTTTTTCCTTATTAAAAATTTACTTCAGTTTATGATAATAAGCACTCAATTCAATATAAAACTTTAATTAAAGAGGGCAATTTTTATGTCATTGTACTAATGAAACCAAACCATGTTGAACCATGCCATGCAAAACTTATGCCTGCTCTATGGTCATGTACACACTGTAATTACTATAAGTGTTTGTTGTTAGCAGTATTCTTAAGTATTTAGTTTAAATTTAATTAGACATCAAAGGACCCAGTAACTTAAAAGGAAAACCATAAAAACAAAATAAAAGATAACAAGTTTAAAACAAATTGAAATAAGAAAAGAAAAAAAACAGCCTTCCCTGAAAAAATGAAAAAAAAATGAAAAAGATATAATATATCAGCATATCTGAAATGTGGAAAACAAAAGAATTAAGAGACTGAAAGAAAATTTGTAAAAAAAAAGTGTAGACATCAACAATTGAACAAAAAAAGAAAAGAAGAAAAAAATATGAACACAGAAAAAATAATGAAAGGAGTGAATAAACAAAAAAAAAGTTGAAAAAAGAAGAAAATGAAGGCTTAATGCTGGGTCATAGATGTTTACTGAACATAGCTTGCCTGTCTTAAAATCTACTCTGTATAAGTTTCTACTTTTGCTCAGTTACATGATTGTGCAGTACACTTTACTTAGCCCTTTAACTCCTAGAAGTGATCAACATAAAACTTCTCCCTATAATATCTTTACATTATCCAGCAAACAAGTAATGAGAATATTCAAATTTATCAGGTAGAAGTTGGCAACTTGATCCAATACAAAATTCACACAACTAAATTTACAAGGAAATTTGTAGCTAGAGGGGAGAATTAACAATCAGATCTTGGGAGTTAAAGGGCTAATGTACCTATTAAACGAGCTTGGTTCTCTTTTGGCAAGATGCAGTAAACAATTGAGACAGATACTTTCATGTAATTTTGTGTGAAACTAATCCAACAAGTTCCTTGAGAGAGGACAGAGGAGCAAACTTGAAGATTTTTCTTGTTTACAAATCAGACTAGTCCTATGCATAAGCAGATTCAACTCCCACAAGTGATCAACATGAAACTTCTCCTTACAATATCCATTCATTATTCAGCAAACAGGTTACAAGAATATTCAAACTTATCAGGTAGAAGCTGCCATCTTGATCTAGCACCAAGTTCTTATAACTAATGCCCCATTCACACCAAAGCTTAAACATGTTTAAAAGTTGTTTTGTTAAACACAGTTTAATTTTTTTTTTCTTCATAGAAACTATTTAGCCGAATATTTTTGACTTGAATGTAGCACATTGGAAATGCAAGTTAGCAAGTACTTGAATCCAATGGAAAATCAAGTTTTTCAGTTCTCTGTTTATAATTTTCATTCAATGAAAACCAGTTTAACAAAACATGTTTTGCTGGTGTGAATGGGGTATAAGTTACAAGGAAATGTTTAGCATCTAGAGGGGAGAATTAACCATCAGATCATGGGAGTTAAAGGGTTCATTTCTTTGTACATACAAATTATGATCAGGGTTCAACTGAGGTTTCTCTACAGAGATTCCTCGACTTTAAAGTTTATGAAATTCTTGTGTTTCAAAAGGAGATACGTGATGAGTTTGAACACATTGGATCTGAGCTAGATCAAATACAAAGAGGGACACACAAGCTTCACGAGAATGTAAAACAGCTACCTGATGATGGCAGAGAAGCAGAGTTGCTGGGGAAAATTGCACAATTCAATTCAAAGCTTCATGAGTATATTAAGGAGGCTCGCACAAGGGAGACCCTATCAAGTGCATTAATTACTGAAGAGGAAAAGTTGAAAGCAAAGCTTGCCGAAATAGAGGCAGAACAGGTTTGTTAATATTGTGTCTGCTGTATGTTTTTTGGGGAATTATGTATTAATGCACCCTGAAATATCTCATGGTTTCAGATTCCTTTTATGGTAATTTTGATCATCTGAATATCACTGCTGCAGAGGTCATCAATTTTGTTTTACAAATGTTTTTGGGTGTGTGTGGTTGTGTTTCCTACCCTCTTTAAAGTATGACAGAAACTTACAAACCAGTAGAGCAATCCTTTCACATGTTGAATTTGCAAGACATGAGAGCAATTTTAGGCAGCAGTAAGAGATGCTACAAACAATAAATTTTACCAAATACCACCTGAAAAAGAGAACGTTGCTTGATCCAAATTAGGTGACAAAGCTGATTGCTACTGAATTTTCAGAAGAAATGGATAGTATTCTTTAAAAAAATATATATATATTTGCAAAGTTTTATGATGAGCAAAATTTGTGAATAAAAGAATAGAAAAAAGGTGTGCTTCTCCTTGTAGGCCTCCCATGAAAATGTGGTGCTTCAGTTGAAGAATAAACTGGATGAGAGCCGTGAAGAAATGGAACAACTGCAAGATGAAGTGAAACTCTTTAAAGATGCTGTGTTTGTGGAAAGAGAGCAAGTATCACCACTGGGAAACAGAAATGATCCTTTGTCATTCAGTTCAAGAAAAAGTGCATCCAAATTACTATCTGATGAGGTACTGTCTGTTTGAGAGTTTTCAGTCCTTTTTTTCTTTTTTTTTTTTTTCTTTTTTTTTTATGTAAAGTTAGTGGTTCACTTCCTTTTTACATGCAATAAAAGTTTTCATTTCAAAGTAATTTCATCATTTCCAGCTTACACCTTAAACACGTAATTAAAAGTTTTTCAGCTGAATTATCAGCTATGTTGCATTTAAGTGCGTACAGGAGGTGGTTATTGTATATGTAAGTGCAGGTGTGGCTTGAATCCTTGAATTAATATTTTTTGTACCAGTTTTAACTTTTTAATTATACATGTGCATTTAGCAAGACAGTGGTTTTCTTAGATCCAGAGTCAGCCTTGTATTTTTTCACTCCCTGTTCAATATATTATTTATGCTGTCTGCAAAAAGAGGTAACATTTCAAAGCTTGGGTTGACTCTCTGCTTATATAACTAGGGTTTGATAATTGTAAAGACACCACTCTCCCAGTCTGGACCAGAATCTTGTGAGACCTGTTGCCAGTTGAAGAGGCAAAATGATGAACTACAAAGGCAGCTTCTATTGGCCAAAACTGAAAAAGATGAAGCACTAAAACTTAAAGAAGAGGTAACTGTGTGATATTTTATTATTTTTTAACACATGTATACTGTACAAGAATGTTTTGAAAACCTCTGTTATGACTAATCTATGCACAAAAAGTAATTCCAGATCCTGAAAAGACTTGTAATTTATTGTTTTTTTTTTTTAATTTTTTTGGTTACTCAGTTGCTTTGTTTTGTTTTTTTGTGTGTTTGTTTGTCAGTGGTGGAATCTGTCTTTCTTCTGGTAGGTTCTTGATGTGAATTACAAGTGGGATGAACAATACAAACTTCTGGTTGCAGCCTCAAAGAAAGACATAAATGAATTAAAACAGCAAATTGAAATTTTGAGGTCTGGCAACAATGGATATTTCACAGGAGCATTGCTAACAGAAAAAAAGGTTTGCAGTAATTGATTGCTCAGTAATTACTTGAAGTTTCATTTCTGAAAGGCGGTTGCAAAACAAATTGTACTGATATTGATAGTGGGCTCTAGTGCATACATGCATGTGCTGCCATAATATGTTTACTGCCAAACATTTGACTGGGGAAAATAACTATTGTTTTGACTATTTTTATTTTGAGACTTAGTATTCGATAGAATATAGAACATAGAAAGCCATTGAAACTTTTAGAAAATTTATGCGATCTGTTATGGCTAGAATTTCACACAAATGAGGTCTTCTAAAGGTGTACAGATGTATGCTGGAATCCGCATTGAGTTCTGACTAAGGTTAGGGAATTTGTTCCTTGCACAAGACATTTTACAGTATGTGGTTCTTCTTAAAAACTTGTTACACATGTTGGTACCAATAGTGACAGTGTGCATGCAATGAACATTCCAGGAATTAGAAGATCGCTGCAAGCAACTGGAAAGTGAGTTGCAAGAGAAACAGCTAGAAATAAACAGCCTACAGCTTATGATGAGGAACAAGCCTACACATTTGGTATGCTTTCATGTGTCTACACGCAAACCTCAGGGTGCAATATAATCAATCAACACATAATTTTTTGTGATCTACACATCCCACTATAACATCAAGGGGGCCCCCCTCCCCCCATTGTAAGGCCTTTTTGTTACATTAAGTTAAACAGGGCATAGAGGTCAATATGACAGTTGGCAAGTACCCTCTGTTTGACACAGTGTAACCCCCCTTTGAAAACCCTTTGTGTTTGAACCTACAGTACATGAAGATTTCCAGCTAATAAAAGCTTGTTTCTTTATTGCTATCTTTGCTGCTCAAAAGCCTCTACTTTAGATCAAGTGAGAGAAATTCATAAATTTCCACAGCAAGTTGTCTAACTGTTGCTTTAAGATACTGTACAGAAAGATATTATGCATTGTATTGTTGTCAAACTATACTTTAATACTTTAGCTGTACGGTAACATGTGCAACTGAAGTGGATGAGGGGAATACAGTATATCCCTCCAAACATATTGCCAACTGTGAGGCCAAAAGACTTGAACTTACGGTATTAAATTTTGTGTCTATGCATTTGCATGTCCGCAGAATCTAGCACCCCAGCACTCATCGATGGAACAACTGCCTTCCCATCTATCCCTGCTGGGTGCAGCTGCACCACGCCCAGGTCCACCTTCCGAAGGTTCACCATCCTGGCCTGGTACAACTGTTCTTGGACAGCAAATCCCTGCAGAGGTTATTGATCAAATAGAAGTTTTGAAACAACAGCTCAGAGTCTATGCTGACGATTTTGCCACTGAAAGAGAAGACCGTGAGAGGAATCAGACAGAAAAAGAGAAGCTCAAAGAGGAATTGGATGCTGTGAAGGAGCAATTACAAGCACTTGAGCAGCAGGTACAGTTTAAAAAAAAATGGAATAAAGTTGCTTTTGCAACAAATGTTGGTGCAATCCTAGTACAAGTATCTACCTTGGATATGCCTTCCCATCAGGTGACTGTCTACATGGAAAAAAAAATCCTTTACCAGAATGTGTTTGTGAGATTCTTTGTTGCTACATTTTGTCTTGCTAATGTGTTTGTAATAACATCAATAATCATTGTTTGTGTGTATCCTTTGTTTTGGTAACTGCCTTCTCTTAATTCTGTCATGAACACAAGCTGTTTAAGGGATTTTTTTTCTAATTGGCAAAGTAGTCGTGTATGACACATGTGAATGTTTTTTTTTTTTTTTTTTTATCAGTATTGAGGTTGCACCAAAAGCACAGCTAGTCACATAATGTTATCTGTAGATCTCACACATGTGAACCTAGGGACCTTAAGCAGTCAGAATTGACGATACCAGGGATGATGTTGAATGAATTAACATTGTGTGCAATGTACACGAGTTTAAATTATTAAGGAGTGAGACCTCATCTTCAGCATGACATGTCACGGCAGAGTTGAGTTCTGAACAGATATCATGTGGAAAGTTGGCTTTCAATATTTCCTTTCTCGAAACTGTGAAAATTTTACATTTTGTCAGTGATGTCAAGGAAACTAAAGCCTTTTGAAAACTAACATGCAAAATTATTGCTTTGTTTCGGTCTTATGGGTGGTGCAGTCTTTGTCATGACTGCTTAAGGTCCTAATTAATAGGATTCAAAACACGGTTGACATCACAATCATGTTGACTTGTTTCCTCAGTCAGCGCCACCTGATCCACAACTGTCAGTAACTCAGCTTGTCCTCTGGGACTAGCCCTCTCACACTGCTGAACAATCACTCAGCCGTAGGGTAGGTTCTGGAAGTGGAACAGTGGATAGAGTTTATAGTGTACAATGCAATTTCAGAGGCACAGGTGGCCAGCATGTTTCATGGTGGTGAATGTCACATGTCAAGTTCTCCATAATCTCATTATTACTAATGGAAGAACTAAGAGACTTATTTTTTACAGTGTAATAACTGATAATACTGTATTTCTTATATTGATGTACGTTTTTGCATGTACATGGAAATGTCACAATTGGTCAAAATTTTTGAGAACAACATGTTATAAAGCTCAGAACTGGTATTGAATGTTCAAGTTAAGTATATAAACATTTTTTTTCCGTGGTGCTTTTCATGAAATTAGATGCAAGTACTTTTCCAAGAGTGATTGGAAAATGTTATTTGTTTTCTTGGAGACAGACAAATGTACATGCACAATTCTGTACAAGCAATATATGTTTTATCAAGTTGCAGAGTTTTAAGTGTGATTGATCGTAAAGATCAGATTCACCTTGGTTTCCCTTTAAAAAGTAATTGCTTGGGGTATGTGCTTGGGACAGGGTTTATTGTGTAGTGACCATAGCTTATTATTCATATTCCCATAACATACTAATCACTAATCTTTCATTTCGAAACAATTCATGTGGGGGCAACAACTAAGTAGCTAATTATTTTTTTGTTTATAAAACAACCTTATTTTAGGACAAGAGAAGCTTTTTCATCCTCTTTATAATTCTGGTGGATTTTTAGTAGATTTCTTTGGACATTTTAGTAATTTTGCTTAACGAGGAATAATAATAATGTTTTTCTTTAATGCTTAATCCTCTCTAACTCTTCAGTATCTGCTTGATGTTCATGGAAACCAAGGAAGCAAATTATGTAGTCTTACCAGTTAAAAAGGCATCTTGTTGTGTTTTTTCGTAGCTCCAGATATACGAAGAAGACTTCAAAAGAGAGAAGAGGGAGAAAGAAAGCCTACAGCAACAATTAAGAGCCAAACAAACTGCAGTAAGTTTTTCTTTTTCTTCTTTTGACGTATGAAACCCGAATGACTATGTCTCAGCAGTTATACGTGTACTTGCGTTTTTGGGATGTGCGGGGACATATATATGAAGGTGGGAATAATATCACAAGGTTTCAGAGGAGCTCATACATATACAAAATGTACGCTTTGCTGTTCTTCATAGGGTGGTTACTCATACAATGATCCGTTGGCCCAGAAGGCCAGGGCTGTTGCTGAACAGCAGGCCAGGGTCCAGGCCATCAAAGAGGTACACGACCGAGAAAGGGACAGGCTGTTGAGAGGACAAACCGAGTTACAGCAACAGGTTTATGATCAGGTACTAGGTCCAAGCTCAAGTTTGTTTAAGTCGCCATTTGTCGACCTGAATCAATCATAAAATGGTCGCCTGAGTTAAATCTTGCTTTTCAGAAAAGATGTGTTCTATATTATGTACTAAACCGCTTACTGTACCGCTTATAGTTAGAGTAAACAGTACGGCTGGCATTCGTTTTCAAATATTCATAAGGTATCTCCAAAAATAAACCTCTATACTTTTGAAAGTCAGGAAAAAGAGGCAAAGTTTTATCGAAGAGAACAACAAAAGTAGTGAAGTATTTGGTGAAAGTGTTTATGTCACCACCACTAAGTTGACTTGAGACCATAAAAATAAGTTGTCAGAAAGGTACAACTTGTGGTCGCAGTTTAATGCGCTGAAGTAACATGTAGTAACAGTTTTATCATTACCAGAATTCTCCAAAGGTTTTTCTTTTTCATTTATTTGAAAGCTGCATTCTTTGTTTTCCTCACCAGCCATACAGTCGTGCTCGATCCCAGTACAATCCTTATGGAAGATATGGCCAGGATTACACAAACCATGAATCGAAGCGGCCTCTTTTGGTCCCAAGGGTAAGGTTTTTTAATTCAGTTTCCACAGTGGTTTAGTATGCGCGTTATCCATGTTATCGCATTGTATATAACTGTAGTTATAGCAATTTAAACTCGAAGGTAATCCGGAATTTCTTGGGTTACACTATGAGATTGGTTTAGAAAACTTGTGCCATTTCCTCAGCCGATCATATTCATAACTAAATGAATCGCGATTTGGTCAGTCGCGCTTTCCCGCGCTATAAGCACTTGTGAATTGTTTTAACTTTGAATTTCATAAATAGTTTCCTTTTCTTTGATTGGCTATGGTGATTACGTTTGTTTTGGTCTTACGTCACTGAGTCGAAAAACGCTCAAAGACAACAAAGCTAATAAGGTGTTATAGGTCTCGCTTCCCGTCGTTTCTCGTCCATGATATAATGGTGTATGTAGGTAGATGAACTGCACTGTTCCCGTTGGTACCAGAAAGTGTTAAGGATGCTTTTGGAGTCGCAGTCTTTTCACACTCTCACTTTCAGAAGGCATACCCAACCGGCGGCTCCTTATGGTCGCCATGAGAAGATGAGTCTAAGCAGTGTTGCTAGAGCCTGTATTCACCCGGTATAGTTTGTTGCGCAGAGCTATAACAGCAAACTGTCTCTAAGTATTCCCTGACATTTGAAGTGCTACTCTAAATCCTTTTAGTTACTCATAGTGACATTTCTCTTTCGCATCGTGTAGGGTACAATGCATCCTTCTCATGGATTAATCACACATCCTACAAGTCAGCAGGCAACCAGAACTTCCATTTACCATGGAGGAGAAGTTTACCCAGACACAGTGCGAGACGTTATAGATTCCCCTTTGGATGGAAACGATGTCGAATCAGATTCAGGTGTTAGCAGTAAGGAGGAGGTGGTTGGACTGGAAGAATGCCCTCGCTGCTTGAGGAAGTTTAATGGAGAGGATAGCGACGCAATTCTCAAACACATCGAGAGGTGCATCTCCTAAGGTGGCTCAACAGTTTGCGGTACTTTTTCAGATTGTTTCGATGTATCAGCACTTTCACCCTGTATCGGTCTGTGGTAAAACATTGGTAACGAGCAGATGTCTGATCATTGGGTTGTATGTCCTCATCGTCCCGCGTGTTTAAGCGATGTTTAATTGTATATTACACAATGAAAACGGCGTTAGTTCTTGCCCTCAGTGATTGTAAAATTGTATTTAGTAAGCTCGGGGTACAAGTCTTTGATTACAAAAATGAAGTCGTTAGTTCTTTCCCTCAGTGATTATAAAATGTTATCAAGTAAGCTGGGGAGTACAAGTCTTTGATTACAAAAATGAAGTATTTAGTTCTTTCCCTCAGTGATTATGAAATGTTATCAAGTAAGCTCGGGAGTACGAGTCTTTGATTACAAAAATGAAGTATTTAGTTCTTTCCCTCAGTGATTATTAAATGTTATCAAGTAAGCTCGGGAGTACGGGTCTTTGATTACAAAAATGACGTGGTTATTTAAAAACGCAACTTGTTTAGGTATTGAAAAGTAGATGTTTAAGTTTAATCTTACTTTTTTTAACGAGAAAGTGTCGAAGCTAATGGTGGCTTTGTGATTGGTATAATGATACGCGGAGAAAGAGACATTTATTAACCAATGATTGGACATTCGTTTGATGCTCTTGTTTTATCATCGGCCAATTCAGAGTGGAAGTAATAGCACATCGAATCATAAGTACTGCGAACTGCTTTGAGCCACCACATGGAAACGATGTGGCCTCGATGTTTTTGAGGGGGTGGAGTTAATTTTGAATTTATTCACCAACTCAATGGAAAGTAGGGCATATTGCCCCACATTCAATAATTTTTGTGATCATGGTTTACACAGTTACACATATTGTCTTTGTTTAAACTTGACGTTGGATATCTGTTATTTCAATTTTTTTTGTCACTATTCATATTTGAGTTGCTTGATAGAACATGCACAATTTTATATTTCATACGAAGTTCAGATTTTTTGAGGTTTTGTTGGGAGATAATTACATTTGGTGGTGTGTTTTGAGTGATATTTTTGACACTAGCTATACTTATTAAGACTACGTAACCATGTTAATCAGAGAAGTTAGATACAGTTTTTTAATGCGCGTGACAACTCATGAAGTGTGCGAATGCACAGAAGGGAGATTGTGTTACTTCCGCAATCGTTGTCTTAATTCCATGTCTTCATGTAATCCCTTTCAGTTAATTTTAGGGAAGTTAATTTTTTTTTTTTGGTACAATTGTTAGAAAGGTTTGCCATGTGAGAGGAAGAGGAACTGGATTCTCGACCAGCGTGCTTTTGCTTTACTCGGCAATTGAAAGCATTCCAATTCCATATCACCTTTGCAACTTGAAATTTGACTTGGTTTCCACCATCACAAGAAATCGCAGCGAAACAACAGGTGGTCATTTATTTTCAAAAAATTATGTACTCAGAGCTTTGGTTAAAGGAAAATGTGCCTAAAAAAGTTCTCGGGGAAAATGACCAAAGGGCTGATTCGGAGCCAGATCCGAGACCTTACAGCCTATACAATGGCTCAATGTCGACCTTAAAAATTATTGCACAATGCAATCCCAAGCTTAGATAATCGAAAGCCTTAAACTAAAATTCTACTCCATTCAAGGGCTGAGGCCCAGGGCGTGTTGTTCTCATGCCGCAGAAATATTTTATTTCCGCTTAATTTGTCGTATTTTTAATCGTTGAAAACTTGGACTTAAATGGTTGCCAGGTATCTCGCGCCATCTCTTAATTTTTATCTTGAGTCATGAAATGTTCCCAGTCGATTGTTTGTTTATTTTGTGTTTGTTTTGTTTGAGGAAGTTTTGGTTTGTTTCTTGTCGCTGTTTTGACACCGATCGATTTTTTTGACTTAAATTTTTTTAATAATTGAACTTGCCAGGTTTAAAACTTTTACAAGTACTTCTCTATGTGTAAATTCTCAAGAGATCCCTGAAAGATTCTAAAATGAGGTTATTGAAAGTAACAGCAATGATTTACAACGAAAAAATAGCATTACAATGAAATAGCTAATCGTTTCCATGTTTTAACAGTTACTTCTATTTTTCGTAGTTGCGGTGTTTTCGAAATTTACACCCTTCTTCCTATTATTATTGTCTTTGTGGTTTTTGTTGTCCTTGTTGTTCCCGTTCCTGTTCAGTTCCTGTTTACTTTCACCGTTTGTTGGGTTAACGGAATAGTATCCGTTGATCGTGCATGATTTGTGGGATGTGTTGTGTGAAGATTAGTTGTAGAAGAGTAAGACAGCAGTGTTATCAAATTTATAATTGTAGAGATATTTTTTGTGGATAGCTGAAAAATCATAACGAAAACTTGAAAAAACGCGCCAAAAAAATCTTAAAACAAGCTCCTGCGGGACAAAAAAAAAAAAAATTACACCGTTTTCGTGAAAAAGTTAAAAATTCTTTTAGAAGGAGGAATAAGTTAACGAATCAGATTGGGAGAAGGGGGGGTAGCGTCATTCGAGAAAATTTACCTTAAGCGAGTACTAGTGTAAATCATGAGACTTACGATCGAATATGTCTTTATTGAAGCTTAGACGGGCAAGTTCATTTAAAGGGGATCATTTCAGAACAGCAGTTACAAGAGATTTTAGAGCTATCAATACTACTTCGTTTGAAGTAGTATTGATAGCATGTTACGATTTTTCAAAAGTTACTCATGTAGTGCGGTCTTAGAGAGTTGTACTTCGTTGTTTTGCCACAAAGCGTAGATGTCTTTTACGTTTATGTGTTGATTAAGAATTAATCAATACGTTTGCTTACTCAGGTACCCGAACGTACTTAAGGGTATATTTATTTTTGTTGAGCTGTTTTTTTAGGTTAGGACGACTGGTTTGCTTCTACTTCCAGCAAACTTGCTTTACATTACTTACCCAAAGAAAGCAACAGTTAAAGAAACTGCCAAGATCAATACAGAACAAAAGCTGTAGAATAAAAAAAAAATGGAAAATTCAAACCAAAAAAAAAATGTATAAAAGTTCAAAAAAGTTCTAAAAAAATTCCAAAAAAATTCCAAAAAACAAAACAAAAAAAGACTCAGAGAGTGGGATGTAAGAAGAGAAATACATGTAATGTCTTTTTAAAAACGGGTTATTCATCTCAAGTTTATGGATGAAGATATTCCCGTCACATAAATCCCATTAACTAAACCTGTAGTTTACAGCTACGAATGTTTTAATGCTTTTTTTAGGATCAACCATATTATGGTTCCTTCATTGTTATTGTGCTTTTTTGTAGCTTTGAATATTGTGCTTACGGAACGAAAAAGTTCCACAGTTTAATTAAACAGGCAGCACAAAAAAGAAAAACAAAAAACAATAAAATGTGGTGAAAATAAATTCGTGTTTTGATTTATTACTTTTACGTCCTCAAGTCTTTTGAAATCGTTAGGTGACTTTTTGGGATCTGGAACTTCAAGGAAAGAGTTTCATGTATTTTCTAAACGAAAGAGATGGATAAAAGGTACAGAAATTACGTCTGGAAAGTTTTTTCCGATAGTAAGAAATTAGGTTGAGACATTCTGCAAGATAATGGTGCCATTTTACGTCAAATCTTTAGTCTAATCTTTGTCACCTTGCTTCCTGTAAATCTCTGAGAGGTCAAATAGAAGAACTCAGGAGCGAAATATTTCGGATTAAATACGCACGGATACGTTTGATTGAACAGCTCAGGTCTAAGAGGACGATTCTTCAGGTAGCACGATCACTGAAGAACTCGAATTTGTGATCAGTGATTGGAGTAGAGTGGCGAGAAACTGTTGGTCTAAAACAATTTTTTTTGTTGTTTTTGACTTTTCCATTTTGTTATTCCAATAAGTACAAATATACATCTAAACCATTTCCTACCGGAAAAAAAGAGAACAAGGATAACTAACCAATGCCTCGGCTAGTACTTCAAAGGACTAGAGCTCCAGTTCAAACAAACGTGATTGTTGATGATAATAGGAGATAGTTTCAACCTTCATTCAATATCATTGACCATCAATCATATTTGCGTTCAAACGGTTCATGATAGTTGATGATCGAGTAATTTTAAACAAATATGGTGCGCGCTGAGGTCAGCAATTTCGGTGGTATTTAAAAATTTTAGTCAAGAAGTTACGATTTGGAGATACTGAAGCCTACCGGGAGATGATGACAATTGTAGTGTATTGCGTTACATAAGGTCACATAGCGTCACTACTGAAAGGAACTTCCAGTCGTGCTGTAAATATACTCTCCTAAGTGAAAGTAAAATAGCTGATTACGAGTGTTGTACGCTAAATATATTATCTTGATCATTTAATCAAAAACAGTTGATTTAAAGGAATGAAAGTGATCACTTGACCTAGGACTACTCTACAACAATGAACTACACTTCCATTTGAAGTGCCAATTATAATATCAGGCCTCTTTTGAAATGCTATCCCTTAAATTTTCTGCAGATTTGCCAGTCTTACGTTCTACCAACGAACAGAACGAAATTACAGGAACGTATGCACACTTGAGAGGCTTTTTGAAAATTAGACGGTATGGCCAGGAGGAGATAATCTCTTGATACGACTAACTAGGTTCAAACGAAATTTACAAAGGCTTGTTTGAGTCACACATCGTCTGTGGGGAATATGTTTACATTACAGAACACTGCGGTATTAGAGGATGCAAAGGTACCTATTCACATCATGATACTGTAATGTGTTTTTTTTGGCTGAGAATTATTGTCAAATTGGATAAAATAAGAGAAACGGGGTGTAGAAGCAAGAAGGAGTTAAGAATAACCATAAAGAAACAAGGAACTCTGGGTAGAGGATGGAAAAAATTAACACGGGGATTAAATAAAGGACTTTAGAGAATAAAAAAAGGAAAAAAATGAAACACCAAGAATCGAATTATAAACCAAAGTGCGACTGTTGTGGGACGACCAAATGGAGTGTATCTAAAAGTATTCGTATGGGGGCAGAAGATTAAGTTTTGAGAACGGCAATTTTAAAACTAGAGCAAGACAGAGAAAAAAAAGTGCAAAAAAGAGAAAGCTACTGGAAAAAAGAAAGAATTCGAGGTACGTATACGAGTTAAGGTAAAATCTTTAACCTGATAAGTTTGAGTAATCTCACTACCTGTTTGCTGGATAATTTATGGATACTTTAAGGAGAAATTACATGTAAATCACTTCTGGAGGTTAGAGGGTTAACAGCAAGACCCACTAACTTAGCGTAATGAAGGCACGGCCTTAAACATAAGTCATGTTTATTAAGTTTTCTTAATTGGTATTTTAATAAATAACTGACATACATATCAAAGATGAAAGTAGAGGCACAAGACAACAATCATACGCTGTTTACAATTTTCTTGTTAAAATACAAAAAGAGACCTCTGAACTAGTAAATGGTTCTTTTTTTGTTTTCTTCTGTTTCTTAAGACTTTTTATCCTAGGTAAAACACTTCCCATTCATCGGGTGTGAAGGGGTTACTACCTGCCAGTAAGGTTTGTTTGTTTTGCACACCACTTGGAACGGAATAAACATTGCCATGACCAAAATTGGCTTCGGAATTACGATTGCTATTGGCATTGTCCGCGATGTAGATATCATGACCGGTACCAAACAACGGACCGATGCTGGAATGCCTGTGTATTGCGTACGATGGCCTTTTTACGATGCTTTTAAATGGCGCTAGTCCTTCTTCATTGCGAAGAGAAAATAGGAAAGCATTTGGAGTGCTGGTGTACCCACCACTTGACTCTGAAAAAAGAAAATGATACACCATTACGTTAAAGAGCATATCATCAAGCTTTTTTCCGTTTCAATTAACCATTAAGCTTCCACATCAGGTATTGTTATTTTTCTCACTAGTATTAAGATATGTGCTGATTTTGTTCTTTTGTTTTTGTTTGTTTGTTTGTTTGTTTTTTATTTTTTTTAATCAGAATATATCATGCGAACATTATTTCTCATGCCTTTTACTTCAAGCCTACAGTGTAGGATAGGCATGTATAGTTTGCATTTGAGCCAAGCAGCTCATCCATCTCGGAGCTTATCCTGGTATTCTCAGCATGAAGCAACTGGAAGCTTTACTACTCCCCCCCCTGGATGGAATATCTATCGAAAGGTTACCCCCTGGTATTTCTTAAGATTTCCCCGATAGTTCGTCGGTACCTACTTATACTCCTGAGAGGAGAGAGACGACGATGCGAGAGTAAATTGATTTGCCCAAAAACACAACTCAATGACCCGGCAAGGTCTCGAGCCCAGACTTCTTGACCCGCAGACCAGCGCACTAACCATCAAGCCACTGGGCCATTCATACTGTTTATGAAGTTTTCCTATTTCGATCATTTTTTTATTTTTATCTTTTAAATTAACCGGAACAACGCAAAATGCAAAATACAAAAACATAAAAGAAAGCAAACACCAACAAAGACATAAAGTTGACATATAATAAATATTTACCCCATGGAATGTCAGTGTATCCTCCAAACACGTACTGCCCTGCTTTTACGATAGTGACTGTGTGAGGTCTCCCATCACACCTTTTGTGGAAAGTACTGACCGACCAACCGTGAGTAGAGGCACGGTAACACAGCAGCCACTGAGGATGACTTCCAACTGCAGGTTTCAGAAACTGATGTAGGTTGCTGTAGTAATACAGATTGCCTGCTATTATAGTTGAGGCCTTCCAAAGCGCTGACAAAAGGTAAAAAAAAATACTGCTTGTTTGATAAAATCTTTTGAAGAGGTCTGTTTTTATAAAGCCTATAATTTACATTTGTCATTTTTTTGTTTACTTGTTTAGGTTTTATGATTAGTGTAGCATCATACTATCTTGGTATGGTCGATCACTCTTTGGCGATACGAAACAGGGCTGTAGCAATAAAAATAAACAGGAACCATTCTTAAGGCCCAGAACTTGTTCATAATAAAATTAATAACCTAAATTCTTATCTTATCCAATATATTACGTAAGAGATCATCCACTGATTGCCAAATATTGCAAAATTATGAAAACATTGCACGCAAGGGACTCTGGGCTCATCTAGCCACCCTTATTGCATCATAGCAAGGAGTCCTTGTTATTCACTTGTGATTTTAAGGAATTTTTTCATGCAGTTATGTAACGGTTAAGTCTACTTTGAAAAATTTACGAGATACCACCCAAAATTGTTCTGGGAAAAAAAAAAAACAATAGTTTTGTTACCCGACACGGCATTACATTCAGGCTGACTTCCAGTCCATGAACCGTTCATCAAGCAGCGACGTTGTAGTGGTCCTATCAGTCCAAAACCAGACCTACAAGTAAATGAAACTTGCTTTCCTTCCCAAAATTCACCGCCGTAAATGAGACCATACTTTGGGTTTTTCAGCGGTGGACAAATTCTCCGACCTTGAAAGCAGCAAGTGGAAAACAAAAACTAAGAATTTTTAGCATTTCAAAGCTTAGTTACACACGCACGAAGGGGTTAACCATAGAGGAACTGGAAGCTGTCTTACGGGTAAAAAAAACCCTCTGTGGGTGGGGCCTTAAAAAAAATGAGTGGTGATGGAAACACTTCAAATATACGTTTCTCGTTGTCCTGATGTGCAGAACCGGGAATCTATGGATTACAGCTCCTTTTCCTTTTCGTTGTACAAATTTTGTCAATCTCGGGCTTTGTAGCTGATCCTAATTAGGTTATCACACCGTTGAATTAAAGGAAAACTCTATCCAGCCACCTTAAGATTGCGGAAAAAAAACCTATGAACTGTATCCAACATTTCAAATTAAAAGGCCAAAGAGGTCAGTCAGCGTAAAATTTTCATTCAGTCTCTAAAGCGTTTTGGTGGTTCACTATCGATTTATTTACTTGTTTATTTACGTACTTATCTATTTTATTTATTTATTTATTTATTTATTTATGCATTTATCTATTCATTTTAAATGCTTAAAATTTCTCTTTTTATAACTTATCAATTAAACTGTAATGCCATGAGGCCAAGATTAGCAAAGGAAAACTGCTAATTAATATTAGAAAAAAAAGCAACCGTCATCACTTACATTCAGGTTGTATTTCACTCCAATTACCGGACGGTAAACAGGTCCTCTTATTTGGACCAACTAGGTGATATTGTGGATCACAAGTAAACGACACAGATTCCCCAGTCCAGTATCGGGAGCCACGTTTGTGTCCGTTAGATACAGAACCGGGATCACCGCAATTAACTAAAACTAAAAAGGGTGAAAAAACAGAAACTTCATTGTTAGGAATGCCGATATGTTGGATTTAGTATCTTTATCAAAGTGAAATCAATTGGGCTTAGAAGGAAAGAATGAAAAACAAGAATCCTAATCTTGATTGACTTAAAAAGAGTAGAAAGTGTTAGTCAGGCGCGGTACAAAGTAAAGAAGCTAAAACTTACTAAGTTTTACAGTGGCTTCTGTTGTCGCATTCTTTTCATTATAAAAAGAGCATTTGTATAAACCAGCGTCACCAGGTTGGAAGCGATCAATAACAAATTCGGTTTTAATCAGATTGTTGCCGTCCCGCTCTGCTGTAGAATCAACTTTCCGCCCATCCTTGAACCACGTGACTCTGGGTAATGGCGACCCACCAGCAGAGCAGTTTAACCTCACCTTATCACCAACATTCTGTACCTGAATTTCACTAGGAGGACTGGAGACGATATACGGATTTACTATCGAGAGAAGGGTAAAAAATCACAATCAAATTTTGACTAAATTAAAAAGAAATTATAATTTATAAACGGAGAGATTTACTGCCAAAAAATGCAACCAAACTTTGACTGTCCAACTAAAGAATATTTTAGGCTAATCTTACCGACATCTTTGACCACGATCCATAACACAGCCATCACATTTCTCAGCGGATTAGCCCCCTGGCAGACATATGCTCCACCATCTTCCTTCTTTGTGTTCTTAATCGTAAGTTGATTACCATCAATGACGTTTCTGTTGATAGGCAGTTGATCCCTTGATCTCGTCCACGTGATTACAGGGGAGGGAAAACCAAAGATGTCGCATTTCAGAGTCATGTCCCATGTCTTGTAGGCTGTCACAGAACGCTTAGGCTCAGAGATAAATTTTGCTGGTACTGCGACAACAAAAAGGTCAGAACAAGATAGAACAAAACAAAAACGGCAAAACGAAGAAAAAAAGAAATCAAAACGTCCATCAATAGAAAAAAACAACAACAACAACAGAAAAACAGCAAAATTGAGATTAATTGTCTTTGCATATCTCCATATCCAAATGTTTCTTCAGACAATGAACATTTAAATCCAAAGTCTCCATAGCCTTGAAATTTGAATCTTTTAGGATTGGGCGGAATTGTAAGCTAATATACTTATGCTAGCATTTCAGTCATCAAATGCATGCCCTTTCATATTTACACATTAATGTTTACTTCTCAGTATTAAATGTCGCTGAGGGCTACAGCCTGCAGTGCAGGCTTTTTATTAGGGCGAGTTAACGTTAAGAAGCTCGCGATTGTTTATTCAACCGGTCATGTTTGATTTGGAGTTAAGATTTAACGGTGGGGGGATTGGGTAGGGAAAAGGCGTAATATTCACTGCCCCACCCCCTCCCCTCTACTTCGTTTTGACCATGGCTCACCCTCTAGGTACAAATAACATTCTCTCCCTAGAGTTCCGCTGCTGTAAAAGTCAAGAATGATAGTTACAATTTCCCCAAGATAATACTGGGAACTCGCCGGCCAAAATTACGCCTGCTTTGCAGACTATGAGGGCTAAAGCTAAGACTGGCATCAATATACGAAACGTTTGGGACTTCATGCATTTTAACAATTTTGGTCATTTCATTTCATTTCTTATGACTTATTTTTCTCTTCATTTCTTTATCCTTCGTCAATCCAGGTGGCCACGGTGCTAATTTTTCTCTTCTTAATACAAAGTCATGTACATACCTCTTATTGTAATGTTCACTGATAACTCGACTCTTCCCAACAGATTCTCTGCTGTGCAGGTGTACATGCCACGGTCCTCAAACTTCATTTCGCTTATTTCCAAATTCCTTTTCTTAGACTGCTTTGTTTTGTCCTCTATCAGGCGCCCATTTTTAGACCATGTGACCACAGGTTGTGGGAAGCCAGTGGCTTCACAAGGAATTGTGACGCTTTGTTTTTCTCGAACTATCAGGGAAGACGGAGGCTTTTCAATGAAGAGTGGCAGTTCTTAGAGGGAAACAATATCATTATTAATGAACTGAAGAAAATAAATGAGTCCAGACTTATCGTTGTGGATCAAGAACAATCTACAAATACAGGAAAACTACAATATGCAAATTTTGATTTTGTTTTCCTAGGTGGTAGGTTTTGTTTTCCTAACGGCGCACTACAGAGTAATTGTTGTCCAAAGAAAGAGGCTTGAAATCTTACTTAACTGGCTTCCTCCACGACTATCTGTCTTCGTTTGGGCTGATATCCCAGGGGGGCCTGGTAATCCCCTGCTGCCTTTTTTTCCTGGAGATCCTGGTCGCCCCTTTGCTCCCTTTGCTCCCTTTTTTCCTCTTTTTCCAGCTAGGCCGGGAGGACCCTGGGGCCCAGCCGATCCTGGTAAACCCGGGGGACCTGGTGGGCCTTTTGGTCCAACACGACCTGATTATGAAATAAAAACTCTAGATTAGTGTGATGAGCGCAATAAAACATCAGAAAAATCACTTTTCAGTTATTTTTTCTCACGTAATAAAGTAACAAGTCTCGATAACTATCTTTTGGTTCAAACGTCAGCAAACTAGGTTCTCATAAAAAAAAATTACTTGAAGTATGTATTATTTTTGTACGGCAAAAAGAGATAAAAAAGCGAGAAGGAACTGATAACTCATGATTTGTGAGACTCTGATATTGCTATAAAAAAAATTAACTAGTGCATCTTTGTGCTTAATTTTGATTGAGGTTGAGCAGAATATTCGTTGTTATTGACTATAGGTGCCTTGCATTAAGTTAAAAACCAATGCGACCCTTAACATTTCAGAGAATATCTCTAAATAAATTGAGTGTAAGAAAACAACCAAAAAAGAAGGCAAACCAAACACTGGTTTTAAACTTTTAACTGGTGAAAAAAAAAGAAAGAAAACTTTAACTGATAAAAATTTTGTACTGAGAAAATACATAATCTTTCTCAATTCAATACTGCGTTATTCTTCGTGGTGTGGACTGCTAATTAAGTTCCCGATTTTTGCTGTTATCGAATTCAGCTCATAAGGATGATATACACACTAAAATCTTACCCTTAACGCAAATGATGTTTCCCTCTGTCGAGTTCTGAGGAATAAACCAAAAAAAGAAAATAATTATTTTACGGGAAGTGTCGAAAGTCTTGAAAGGTTAAAGTTTTATAATATTTCCCATCACGAAATTAAGGCAATCAAAAACAGGGTTGATGTAAGAATTTACGGTGCGTTTCGCTTTAAATCTGCACTTCACTTTGAGTTCAGTACATATGTAAGAGTTGAGAGTTCTAGCTATTCGGAAATCGTAAAGCCAACAAACTCAAGGAAAAAGTCTTTAAATAATTTATTTCTAGATGTCCGAGCCGTGTGCCAACAGGAGGAGAAAAATTACAAGAGAAATGAAGTTATTAATTCAGTACTTAAAACCCTAGCCAAAGGGAACTAAAAGAAAAAAAAAATCTGTGTAAGTGTGTCGATTTTATTGGAGGCGACAAAGTACTTGATCCGTTGTAGCTAAAGCAGACTGAGTTCCTCATTTCTGGTTATTGATTAATCACCACTGAGATGAGATGACGTACGCGCAGCGATGTTATTTACCAAAGAAGGTTCTTTCAGCTATTGTTTTGTAATACATACTATTCAGTTTAGCGTTACCCGGTAACGCTAAATCCAAATAATTGATGGTTTTGCTGAAACTGTAATGGATACGATGATAAAGAAGGCCAGTCTTAGATAAAATCACACATAAATGTCAGGGCTTCGTTAAAAATATCTCCAATTTATCTAAAGACAAATCCAAATAATAATGATTATTGTGACTGTCACACTAATCATTATTTGGATTTGTATTGTATTTTTTTATTTGTATGATATTCTGAAACTCTTCAATAGGAATGGGTTACTTTTAGTGTGCAAATATCTCATCGTAATTTGGTTTAACCAATTGCTTCGATAATTCAAATTGGCCGCCTCCGTAAAGAGTTTCTAAAGCTGATTTTTCGAGCGTTAGCCCCGCGTCATTCGCTTTGTCGCATCTAGCATAGATAGAGTAAGCTATTTCCATGCATTTTAAAGAACTCCCAAGGTCAGGAAACATAAATATGAGATTTTGCTCCAGTTATAAGCGGTTCTTCGGCAAGATTGGTTTATACAGTTGTATAAAACTGAGAAATAGCACTTACGCTTCGATTTCCATTCGACTTGGCACAGGCGTTAATACATTTGCGGCACAAGGATGATCTATCTGAAGCTCTTCTCACGCGAACAATTTCCTCCATTTGTGCTCCGCTTGGACGAGGATGAGTAATTGTAGGCAGAGAATTTACGCGATTTCCAAGCTCAGACGAAGGATTTGGCATCCGTAAATTTTGTTCAACTGCCATCAAACGCGAATCTAATCGTTGCAGAGAATAACAAGTGAAACCAAGTGAGCCCAGCGTGATAATTAAGTTGAATGAGAAGCAAAACAGGAAAACATGCGAATTATTATTCGCTTTGGACTCCATCTTTGAGACCATCTCTTTTGAAACAGATGTAAGGATTTAGGGCTGGCGAACAATGGCTTGAAACATAACCGAGGGATTTTATGTGGGGTTTCAGATAAACAGGATGTTCTAAACTGGACATATTTCAAACAGAGGCCTGACATTGATACGTGTTTCTATCTAAGACGACCTTCTTTATAATCGTACCTATTACAATTTCAGCAAAATTATCAATTTTCATTTTACAGGTAAACAAGCGAAATTTTAGGATCCTGACGCACATTTGAATAACTCTCGCAACATTTAAGTGAATGTTTGATAAAATAGAAAAACTGTAAAAAGGGTCCTTAGTGTCACATATTTTACGAGTTCACAGCGAATCACTTCAACACCGGAGAACACTAAAAAGCATTAAGGGATGTTTTAGGTGCTGTGTCACGCAATATTTCGAGTGTGGTGGCACGATTTAAACCAAAAATATTGTTGTGGATTGAAAGAAATCCTCAAATAACGGATCGCGTGGGAAGATAATTTCCGAAGGAGCTACCTAAACTAAAATGTAAGCATAGAAAATTTAGGTTAAATATTTCAACGTACACAAGCTCAGATGTAAATCTACAGGAAATAATATCGCGAGATATTCAGGCCAAGAAGGTATTCTTAAGGAATTTTGCACTTTTGAATTGGACTCTTGTTAGGAAAATGTCTCAAAGGTTAATCGTTTAGTTTAGTTAAAGGAAACGTGATTTCTTCTGCTTCGCAAGAATTGAGTATCGCTTTTCTGACTGAGGGAAAGCATTTAAAACTTGACTTAAAACAAGGTTTAATACATTTAAAATAGATTGTCCTGATACAAATATTACCCTTTAGCCTAATTTGGATTTCCATTGTTTACATGCCCACTATTTCTGTCCCTTTTCCTTTAAGTGCACAATGTAGATACTCTTCGCCTTTTTTAACTGTCGTCTCCAACTAATTAAGTCTCTAAAAGTCACGTTTTGTACCTACTGCATATGGCAACTATATAGCTCAAACGCAAAATCATAGAGGAGCAGGAGAGAGGCATCACCTTAGAAATATGGAAGGGGGCCTCTACTCCTCTCCTCCTTGTATCAAAATGAAGATGAGAATAACCTGGGCTCCTACTCAGGGTAAATTAAAAGAGATTTAAAAATTATATCTAAGGTGGAATAAGTTGTTTGAGTCGAACAGAGTTAATCCACATAAAAGACCTCCCAGTCAGCAATTTGGAAGCTCTGACTCCCAGCTAAGATATTAGATCGCCTCCAACTACTACCCGGAAAGGATGAGTAGGAGCTGTATCGATGAGATTTTGTGTGTGATGATGTACCGACGTTGGCATTGTCAGCAATGTAGAGCTCATGGTTGAAGCCAAATGTTGGACCATAGCTGGACTTCTTGTAAATGGCATATTGTGGCTGTTTCACCATGCTTTTGAATGGTTTCAGTCCTCTTGAATTGCGAAGAGAGAATATGAAAGCTTTGGAAGTATAACCATATCCACTCCTAGAATCTGGCGAATAAAATAAGTATTTTTTTCCATCAGTCAATTTATCCATGAATATTTCTCTTTTTCTTTGAAGGACTCACTCAGTCACTTTCGCATTGGTTTTCAATCTATCTGCTCCAATCATGCTCTGTAACTATAGCTCATACTCGTCATCAGAAATATTAATGCTCATCAATCACAAACAAAAAGCAAAAAGAAAACGAAAACGTTCTCGAAATACATCTAGGCATTTACGTGCTATTTAGCTGGCCATGATTATTTTTTTTGTAAAGAATAAGAGATAAAATTGGCATAGCAAAAGATACCAATTAATTGGAATTATTTCATTTACCCCAGGGAATGTCCGTGTATCCTCCAAACACGTACTGTCCCACTTTTATGATAGTGACCGTGTTCCGCTTCCCATCACATCTGCTGTGGAAGGTACTGGCCGCCCAGCCGTGAGTACAAGCGCGGAAACACAGCAGCCACTGCGGATGACTTCCGACTGCGGGCGTCAGGAACTCGTGAAGTTGAGTCTGATAAAGTGCGTTCCCCCCTATTATTGCTGAATTCATCCAGGACTCTATAATTTAACAAAAATACAGCAAGCTGTTATATTTAAATTTTACCAAAGTGCAATGAGTCACGAAGTGGAAAGTCGAGAGAGAGAGAGAGAGAGAGAGACAGAGACAGAGACAGAGAAGGAAGGAGTGAAAACAATTTTTCTCACATTTATCGACAATTCCCTGTAAGTTGTTATTCTTTCATTTTGTTTCACTGTAGCATAATAACTGATGATCACCGTCACAGCAACAAGCCATCCATGAGTAGTGTGAGGGAAAACACCAGGTTTCTCCCACATAGAGGCGAATGATTCCCACATTCATGACGCAAGGAAGGAAATTGATTTATCACTGTGACTTTGCAAACTTAAATCTCACGACTCTGCACGCGTTAATGAAATCACAATTAACCCACATATGAAGAAATCGTTTATTCAGAGAAAGATGACTGATAGCGATGAATAAGTCAATCTAGGTTAAATCTTCGCTTTGTTGAATAAAAAGAAAAAGAAAATAATTCTTGGACGTTGCGTTTGTCTGTATGAATGAATAGATGGATTAATGGATGGCTGAAATTAATTATTTGCTCCTGACCTGGTGAGACGTAATTCAAGGTTGTCAACGCACTAATAGTGCCAAGTTTGTTGCCGGCTTTGCACTGATAAACACCTGCATCTTCAGGACTGAAGTTGGAGATGGTCAAGTTGTGTTTTGTAACAGAAGTTCGGCCTTTTGGTAAAGATAATAGGCCTCTTGACCAGACAATTGTCGGTGGAGGAAAGCCAAATGCTCGGCAAGGGATTGAGGTGTCCGACTTTCCCATTACTCTTAGAAATCGATCCGGTCTCTTTGTGAACTCCGGAGGCACTAGATTGATGAAAAAGAAAGTATATAAACTTAAGTTCACATCGTCGTAGACATTTCGTAAAACTTTAAAACATTTGACATTTGTGCCAAAGGAAGACTGAAAGGAAGATTTCAGGTTATAGGGAACCTGAATGAATATCATTCTTTACAAAATTGAAGGTGAAACTAGCAAAGAAGTAAATTTGAATGACCAAAAAAGAAATCAGTGATAACTGTTTCAAATAACTTCAGGAAGGGTTGAAAAATTGGAAATGCTCGATTCAAAGCTGTGTAAAACTGGAAGTCTCCTAAAGTCTGTTACTTTACATCTGAGGCTTTTAAAATGTATTTGGCGTGTCAAAGGTTGTATCTCACCTTCCACAAAAAGCGTTACTTCTTTCTGCACTTTTCCTAATACATTTTCAGCCATGCAAACGTAACTCCCCGAGTCATTATACTCAACATTCCTGATCTGAAGTTCATTGCCGTGGCTGTCCAAATTCTCCATTCCCGTTTTATTAACTTTACTCCAAGTTACTCTGGGTTTTGGATTACCATCAGCTGAGCAGTTAAACGTGGCGGTCTGTTTCTCTGTGACTGTGAGCGACGCAGGAGATACATTTATATCTGGAGCAAAAATAGACTCCCCTGGTTCACCTTTAGGTCCTGGATTTCCAGGATAGCCTGTGTCTCCTTATAAAAAAAAGGAAGTAAAAAAATTTAGGTCGTGAGTTTGATTCTATTTAAGCTTCGACATCAGCGATATGATTCATAAGGGATCGGTGAATTCAGTATTTCCAATATAAGATCTCGCGAGATTCAAGGAGTTGATCATCCAATTCTGATAAAAAAAATTGGCAAATTCTTACACTGCGCGACTCTCTGAGCAGCTTTGTAATAAAAAAAGACAACTGTTTCAAATATATTCTCCTTAAATGCTAATAAATGGTCAGCCACAGGTTTATGGGTGTGGATGAGGATTGTGGAGTGAAATCGGAAAAGTTTGATAAATTTTTGCACTTCACTGTCAAATGGTAATAAATGTGACCGAATAACCTGCAAACCTTTTTTATAGCAACAAGCAAAAATACGTCAAATACATTATTTCTATCTTGTTAAAAAAAGAACTCGATCTGATATTTAGGGCACCTTTTTGGCCTTTAATTCCTGGGTTTCCTGCATCTCCCTTTATTCCATCTACCCCAGGGTCTCCTCGCAATCCAGGTTTTCCAGGGCGGCCCTCTGGACCTTCTATACCGTCCTTTCCTGGAATTCCCTCTGGTCCAGGGGGACCTGCCATACACAATTTCTTCGTGGGTTGACAATAAGACTCGATAGATTCAGTGATAAGAGAGGCCATGTACTTTTTTATTGCAGTATCAGCTTCTTCTGAATCGCCAGAAACGTTGCGCTGGGCACTTAAACTTCGGCGGACAATTTTACTGCTGTACTTGATGACTTGAAAAAAAGAAGATATTTCTTGTTAGATTCCGTACGTGGCTACGCCACAATCTATGACGAATTCATTAGAATTATTGCAATATGAATGTTTTTGTGTTTGGGCACATCTAAATCTTAAATAAAGTTCTGGTTAAGCCGAACGACTGGTTGAGTAGGGCTGACCAAGAAGAGATCAAATAACTATTTTGGGAAAAGAAACAAAGACTTGCAGTTCTTCATCACGACAGATAAATATTTTTAGGCATAAGTGTTTTTATAGAGGTTGCTCTGGCTGTGGCCTTTAGTGACGCGGATTAGCTTTAATTATGTCCTATCGCGTGACCCGAGGCCATCTTTAAAGATGAGCCTTTAAAAGTAAAAGCGAAAAATTCGGTATAACTTCTGTGGTAGTGATTCATTAGGTATAAGAAAGGCCTGCTACCGACCTTTTAATTTATTATCCCGTTCTACGTGTGAAAAACGCACCAAAACATGCCACTAATGTGGTTACTGAGCCATGCAGGATATTTGAATAAGTTGACCTAGATGAGTATTGTGCTGATTAAAGAGGAAAAAAAAAGAGGAGGATAAGAGACATCAGAGGTATTCACATGGTCCAAGTAAGCTTAATGATGAAAATATCCTTGCCAGAAATCTTCCTTCTGAAATGGAACTAAAGTTGAATCTAGCTGCATGCAGAGAGGACTGGTTGTAATATAAACCGGACCAAACTTTGATCAAGGTCACCAAAGGTCTGTCTGTAAGTCGGAAAGTAGCATGAGTGATGACTGTTCTAGATCCGCTCCCGCACTGCCTTATCTCCTAATCCCTCCAGCGCTATTGTGCTGTTTGTTATCTCATAGATTTAGAAGGAATCGCACGTTTGCATCGCAGATAATTCTATGACTTTCAGGTCACAATTATAACTTGAATCTCTATTAACAAATTCCCTCAAATTGTGCACCATGAAGAGTCAAGATTACGTAAGATTCTATCAAAAGTAAAAAAAAAGGAAAAGAATGTCCTCCAATGCAAATATCTAGCTTTAAGCCCAGAACGATCTCTGGAATTAAGTGAGAGTGGATTTTGAATCATTATATCCATATGCATAAGATGATACGTTATTGCTAAATCAACACCAACAGCAAAGAAGCTCAGCCTGTGTATCATTTCTGAGATTATTACCAATATTATGACTGATGATACAAACTGCCTAGATAATGGCGTACAGGAATCTTACAGAAGTAAGAGAAAATATATAAAAGTTATACCACCTACCACTTGAAACATCAAGATGGTCGTTTACACGGTTGGGGAAGCGAGCATCTTTTACCGATTTCAGAGTTTCCTTGATCTCTTGGATTTCAAGGGTGACCTTAACTTCCAACATTTGCGTGCTGATCTCCATTCTTAGGAACAGCGCAATTGTTAGGAGAATTGCAAGAACTGACAACACCAAGGAAGCCTTGTGAAGATTATTGCATTTCTTTGAATGACTCACTTTTGTTTCATCTACGTGTACGTCCATTTCTGTTCAACGATTATCAATTCTAGGAAATGTCGTGCGCGAGAACTTGATTAAGCTTGCTTTCAAATGAGAACAACCTACCAAACCGAGAACAAAGTGGAATATGATCCTTGATTTCACAAGATTGCTTCTTGCAAAGAAAACAGCGAATATTATATTACCATTAAAAAAAACAGGCGCCTGAAATGTTACAACCTATAGCGAGGGAGCCTATTCAACTCTTTTTTATGATTGTATCTCTCATTTGCGATTTTTCTATTCATTTTACACCAAATGTATTCAAAGCTACGCATAACGGATCATCGAATTAGCGCTCAGGCGCTCATTTCAAATTTCAGGGCGCTTAATCGAGGAGGTGGGGGGGGCTTATTTAGTTAGCGCAGTGGTAGGACAGAAATTTAAGAACATATGACTTACTAAAAGGAAACTATAGAGATAGAAATAACTGGAACGAAGAAGAAACCATTCTCCTGTACTGATTCTGCTGTAGTTGAATCGTAAAAAGTTGTAAATAAAGTGGCATTGCATTTTCAAGTTTGCTCATACAGGCCGTAGCAACATCGGTTGTTGAAATTTGACCTCTTGAGTAAGATATTAAGGAAATGGTATTTATGAAACTGAATGCGGCAAAAGAGTGTTATCCCTTATTCTCTTCAGCCCGTCTTCGACTTTGATTGCATCTCAACCTTAGCGGTATTCATAAAAACTCGGTTTATTATCGTTCACGACTATTTTAAGGAACTTATCTCAAACTTCGATATCGTCCTTAGGAATGACTGAAGACAACTTAGTTATACTTATCTAAAGTTAAAAATAGGAGTTTGGTCGCGAGTTGTACCTTTCCTCCTTTGCATTACGTAATCGAATCAAGTGACTTCTGAGATTGGAATCTCGTTCTTTGCATATTATCTCGGTTTTGTGGAATAAAATCTCCTACATCTTGGAAAATTGTTGAACTATCTGTCTCATTCAAGAATAAATTCTTTGGAAGTTATGGGAATATTTTCGTTTCTTATATCTAAATAAGGCAAAAAAATTTGTATCACTGACAAACCTCACGAATTTTACTCATCATGCAAAAGTCAAGATTTATAAACTACCGTCGGGTGAAGCCCCTTAAATTTTTTTACCTTGCAAAATTTGGAGGAAAAGCAAACAAATTCGCCCTTCTGCTAAATAATAAAACATCAGTGTTTGAGATTAGTTTTAAAAGGTCTGCTTTTCAGCTGATAAAGCCAATAGGTAAATTAAATCGAAGTATGACACTATTTTACCGGGATTTGTGGTGGAATTATGATATAGCAGTGTTGATTCAACCAAGATAGAAAACCTCCACCTCATCAGGTGTGAAGCTATAAGTCCCTGCCAGGATTGTTTTTTGGTCCTTTATACCACTTGGGATTGAATAAGAATCGCCAAAGAATGTGTAGGAGTTTGTGTTACTGTTTGCATTATCTCTAATAACAATGTCGTGTCCTCTACCGAATGTGAGCCCATTGCTTGAACTCCTGTAAATAGCATATTTAGGCGTAGTAACCAGGCTCTTGAATGGTGCCAATCCTTCTTTATTTCGGAGAGAAAATATGAACGCCTTGGAAGTACCTGTCCAGCGACCACTAGACTCTGAAGAATAAGATGTGGAATAAACATATTATACATTGAATTTCAGTTCCTTAGACCATGGAAAAAAAAATCCGACAACTTTTCTAGTCGTTTAATTCTTTGGGAAACACGATGTGTTTCGGTATGCCGCAACTCTTATAGTGAGGACCTGATCGAAAGCTAACTGGCCTTTAAAGATTGGCGAAGAATAAGTTTTCTTCCCTTAAGTTTAACTAAACGTTTTTTTAGACGAGAACTTGACAGTTACATTAACTAAAACCGAGAGAAACATTTCCATAGGTTTTGACTACTCAATTCTTTTTCCTTTCATGAATTTATAACTTGTTCGATAATTTTTTTGGGTCAAGATGTAAAAGCTTATGTTAGATTGTTACTTTAAATACAACTTTATTTCACTGGATTACAATCAAAGCAGAGAATAAGGAAAATATATTCTTTTACCCCATGGAACGTCCGTGTATCCTCCAAACACGTACTGTCCAACTCTTATGATGGAGACTGTGTTCCGTTTCCCATCACACCTTCTGTGGAAGATACTGGCCGCCCAGCCGTGAGAGGAGGCGCGGTAGCACAGCAGCCATCGAGGATGACTTCCAACAGCAGGTTTTAAAAACTGTCGGAGTATGCTTTCATAAACCAAATTGCCTGCTAATATAGTCGAGGCTATTTGAGGTGCTGAAAAAAAGGAAATAGGATACAACTTTTCTTGAAAAAAGCTTTGATGTTTTTGTTTTCATCAACCTGATAGTAGTTGGTCTAAGTGGGGTGATGGCTTTTACGGCTAACAATTAACATTTCGGCCATTTTACGGCTAACGATTGACTTCCTTTCTTTGTGATTAATTAAAACCTCTTAACGGTTAACTTTTTGCGACACAATTAAATTGGTCATTTTTTACGCCTAACAGCTAAATATTTTCGTCATTTTACGGCTAAAGGTTAACCCCTTTGTGATCCTCTCAGTAACTTCGAACATTATGAATTCTATCGCAATGGAAAACATTTAATCAACGTCTAATTATACTCAGAAATAACAAGCGATGCAATTATTCCAAAATTTAAATATCTTTGGCATTAGCACCAGCTGATCCCTGATAAGCTTGTTCCTCTAGTAAGCATTTTTTTCATCCTCATCTTTACTATCAAGAGAGACTTTGTACATTTTGCAGATATAAAGAATCTTTATAGGAACGAAGTTTTTCCCCTGCAAAGCTGTCACCGACTATTGCATAGAAATAATATTGAAAATTAAGAAAAAACAATTTTTCTTTAGTTTAATTAATTTTTAGCTGCACAATTTTGAAGCATTTTAGTGAAGAACGCATTTCATTGTCAATTTTTATCTTAGTCAGCCGCGAGGGGCGAAATATGCCGTGATATATTATGCTATCCATAGCTGCCAGTATTTAAACGAAAAAAGAGGCGATAACGCAATTGTAAACAGTGGCGTGTTCAACAAGACAAGAATCTTTTGAATCTGAACAGAGGTATTAAGGTTTAATTCAAGGAAAACAAGTTTGAAATGTTCCTTAAGTCGCTGAAAGGGTATAAAAACCAAAGCGAGTGTGAGACCTTGTGGATCCGGACCTTCACCTTTCTCTTGGTTTCGTAACACTCACCTACATACTGTAGGTGAGTGTGGGTGGCACTTGGAACAAATAGAATTTAAACAACTTCATTTACTGAAGTCGACTGTTTGCAAAGGATGGCGTTCCCTTCCTGTTCAGTGATATAAACCTTCCTTGAAATAATGAAAAATTTTTAACCAAAAAATTAAACCTTATATTTCCTGACCTTGCTCATCATAATTTAATGTTGTTAGGACACTAACAGATCCAAGTTTGTTGCTGGCTTTACACTGATATGTACCACTGTCTAAAGGACCAAAGTTGGCGATAATAAGGGTGCCATTCTTAGCAATCGTGGTCCGGCCTTGCGGTAACGGGACAAATCCTCTCGACCAAACTATAGTTGGTGGTGGAAAACCAAAAGCTCGACAACGAATAGAGGCGACTGAGTTTGCAGGGACCTTAGTTAACCTCTGGGGAGTATGGATGAATCGTGGAGGAGCTAGATTTAAAAAGGACACCAACATTATGAATTGATAATGTAAACTAACCGTAACGAACTAATCACTGGTATTTGTTTATCGCCCGGAAGGGAGGAGGGGGAGATGGGGGTGGGGGGGGGGGGGGGGGGCTCACGGTTTTCAGGGAGAAAGGAGGGGGAATCGGTTGTCACCAACAGAGCATATGACTGCTTCCCTACGAAAGACGCACGAAATCAAGTATTTTCATTATCAGCATCACCTTCAACGGTAAGTTTCACCGTCTTCTGAGCTTTTCCTAAGATGCTTGTGGCCACGCAAACATAGCTTCCTGAGTCGTTATAAGCAACATTTATGATCTGCAATGTATTATCGTGACTGTTGATATTGACTTGACCTGCACCACTCATTTTACTCCAAGTTACTCTGGGTTTTGGATTGCCATCAGCTGAGCAGCTAAACGTGGCGGTCTGATTCTCAGTGATTGTATGTGAGGCAGGAGAAACATAAACGTTTGGAGCAGATATGGACTGGCCAGGTTCCCCTTTAGGTCCTGGATGACCAGGAACTCCTCTGTCGCCTTAAAGAATATACACAGGCATGTGACAAACGCCTTAACTGAAATTTAGGGGAATGTCTTACAACTGTCGGAGCAAAATTATTTGGCGTGGTAAAGATTGGCTCTAAAGACATGGAGGAAGCCTGCTCACCCTTGGGCGCAGATTGCATCCATTTTACACCCTATGATAGATTTGTACTCGACAATGAACCTCTAGATTTTTCTTGACTTTTTGGAGATTTTGCTAGCCTTGGCATCGTATCAGAAACTTATTATTCAAAGCTAAATTTGTTAACTAGACTTATAGATGACGACCAAATTCCATCCCAAGAAAAAAAATTAACGGCCACATAAAACCTGGTGAAGTATTTTTTCACAAGTTAAAGATACATTTCTTGTAATAGATAACATTATGTCTCAACCAAAAGACGCTTATGATCTTTTTGTTTCAATCTTTCAATTCTGGTTTTAGATTCCGGCAAAATTTCCACTCATTTTGTTCCTAATGACAATGACTATTATGAATAAGGAAAGACAGAAGTAAAGTGTCAATAGCTCTTAATTCATACCCTCTTCTCCCTTCATTCCAGGATTTCCAACATCTCCTTTCATTCCTGGTTTGCCTTTCTCTCCCGTTTTACCCTTAGATCCCCTTGGACCTCGTTTACCGCGATTTCCCGGAATTCCTCTTGGTCCCCGAGGTCCTGCCACACAGAATTTACCAGGGGAGAGGCAGTAAGTCCCTATGGATTCAGTTACAATAGAGGTCACGTACTTCCTGAAACCAGTGTCGGCTTCTGCTTGATTAACTGAGTCGCTCCGGTTGGTCCTTAAGCTGCGGCGAACAATTGTGACGTCTTGTTTCCTACCTAAAGAAAACGGCAAGGGTTGACCGTTTTTGTTTTGTTTTGTTTTAACATTGATTATATCAGATTTACGCTTCACAAAGTGCTTTTTGTTCCATGACCGAAACAAGGAAAACTCGTTTTCTGCTACGTATTTTGTTCGGAATTCTTTTGTTTAAATCCTTTTCGACAGAGGACAAGTCGAAGAGAAGCCACTGATTCGTTTGAAAGGATCTATTGAAAGATAAGTATACAATATGCAGTCGTGACTTGTTTCAATAAACGGGTCAAGTTTCTGATTAAGGTCAAATCTGTGTTGTCAAAACTTCTCTCATCATATCGCAATCAATAGAAATGCCCGAATACATTTCAGTTGTTCATGGCCTGATTTACATTAAAATGTAATCCACACAAACATCTCATTAGGTGGATTTTCTTAAGTCCATTAAACGTATGGACTTGGTTATCTACTGTTTGCTTTGAGTAAAAGCGGTGGCAACTGAGTGCGCCCGGCTTACTTTCGTATGGATCCAGGACAGTTCAAGTTCAAGCGACGCGCAGTTGCTAAGAAAATTTATACTAAATTACCTACCGTTTGAAATGTCTCGGTCTTCACGAAGAACTTGGCAAGCAGCCCTCATGGATTCGAGAGCATCCCCCATTTCTTGAATTTCCAGAGTAAATTTTGAATCTAGCATTTTTGTGTTTGTCTCCGATCTAACAAAGAGAGACACCGTCATCAGAATGGCCGCAACAGACAACAGCGATGAAGCCTTTTGAAGACAGTCACCAAGTGTTTCTTTTGATGGAATTTTCGTTTTCTGTGCGTTGATATCCATGGTGTTTTCCCTACGTGCTATGCTGTAAGAAGAAAAGGCGCAAAACAAACTCGTCAAACTCAGCGGTACTGATGATCATACAATTACTGCACAAGGTTTTGTTTACCGTTTCAGCCCTCAAGAAACTGCGGAATAAAGGAGCGCTACGGTTAATTGTATCCAAAGTTGGAGGAAGTCCAAATTCTTTACGAGTTTATTATAATCCGGCTTCGTGCATCACTCAGTGTCAATAATAAAGACATCGGTAATTAGTTCTATCGCCGGCGAGTGGTTTTTAGCATTTCTCCAATATACTTACCATCTAACAAGGGTAGATTTTCCTCCCGGATTTCGTGCTTCCGTCCTTCTTATAAGGAAACCTTAGTAGTTAGAGGCGACCTTTTCACGTGATGCTGTCTGTCATCAGTTTTTTGTCACAGCGGAGTACTTGAGGGTTTATGTGTACGGACCACACAATTACCACAGCTGAAAGTATTGAATGCATTGTTTGTGATCTTATTCAGAAGTACCCTTGATTTTCAAGCTAGCTTTTGATCAACTTGCACTTTGCGTCCCAAGCAAAATTTGTTTTATGTCAGGATTCAACCAAACAGGATGTTCTAAACTGAAAATATTTTAACAAAAGTGTGACATTTGTATGTGTTTCTGTTCGACGACTATCTGTTCTAGGAAATGTCGTGCGCGAGAACTTGATTGAGCTTGCTTTCAAATGAAAGAAACCTACCAAACCGAGAACAAAGTGGAATATGATCTTCGATTTCATCAGATCGCCTCTTGCAAAGAAAAGAGCGAATATAATATTACCATTAGAAAAAAACAGGCGCCTGAAATGTCACAACCTGTAGCGAGGGAATCTTTTCAACTCTTTTTTATGATCGGATCTTTCATTTGGGAGGTGCTTACTAAGTTAGCGCAGCAGTAAGACACAAATTTAAAGAACTGATAACATACTCAAAAGAAACTACAGAGATAGAAATAACTGAAACGAAGAAGAAACCATCCTCCCGTACTGATTCTGCTGTAGTTGAATCGTAAAAAGTTGGAAGTTAAGTGGCAATGGAAAGAGGTTTTCCCTGTATATACCATTAAGGAAGAGAAGGGAGAGAGGTTATTCGAAAGGAGTGCTTGCTGACATTATGGTCTTGAGGGTGGGAGGGTATTCGGTGGAGGGCGCTTATTCGAGAAAATACGATGTGTCTTGTAGGGCAGACCTGACAGTTAGTGGAGCTTCTGGTCATTCTAGTCCGTCCAACCGTGAGCAGCCCGTGCAAAGCTCCTCCGGTCTTTGATAACTTCATTCCCTTCATGTTTTCGGTAAAACTCAAACTTTAATTATTTCATTTCAGTAAAGATCGTGTAGTCCGACAGGTGAACTTAAAGCTTTCTTAATTTGAATGTACCTTAGCTTGCAATTATATTACTTAGTTGAACCATGACATGCGTCATCTCTCAAATCTCGTCTATAGGCGCTGCTACTCATTCCAGTAGACTAATAATCTATCTCAAAATACTGATCAACATACATCATGTCAGTTTCTTTCGTTGTCCAGTTTTATCCAGACTCAATATACTTACATTCAGGATCTAAGAATTTAAGACATGAACATTATGCGCCAATCAATTCGAAAGTTCGACACCTCTCCCCTCCTCCTCAACGGGTATTTGACCATCGTCTGTTCCCGAGGGGTTTGGGGATGTGTACTTTGCCTGGGTGGGGTGGGACATTTGAATTGGACCTTTGAATCCTTCTAGCGTAATACACGTGTTTTATCGTGTAATATGGGGATGTACAAGAAAATAGTTTACTTTTGCGAGAAGAGGACTATGGAAAAAAAGTCTACAAGAAAGTCGAAGTCGACAATCAGATCTGATGGCTTTTAGTGACCTAGAAGAACGAAAACATAAAAATTTTCCAGAAAAACAATACGCTGGCGCGCGCGCCAACATTGCGCAAAAACCCTATGGAGCCTCCTCAAGAGGACCATTCTTTAAGGTCGCGTGAGCAGTTGCTTTGGGTTGTTATGTTTGTTTCTGTGGTCATAACATACTATCCTTTGCACTAAGTATGGCGAAGGTTCCCATTGGTCAGTGCTCTCTGCTGTAGAGAAATTCACTAAGCAAACCTAAAGCTAACTTTTGACTGCAGCATCGAAAGAATTAGTTGTTTAACACGAGGCACGATTATTTATTCTCTCCAGCCCGTCTTCGACTTTCATTGATTACATCTCAACCTTAGCCGTATTCATAAAAACTCGGTTTATTATCATTCATGACTATTTTAAGGAACTTATCTCAAACTTCAATATTGTCCTTAGGAATGACTGAAAATAACTTAGTTATACTTATCTAGAGTTAAAAATAGGAGTTTGCTCGCGACCGTTGCACTTTTCCTCCTTCGCATTACGTAATCGAATCAAGTGACTTCTGAGATTAGAATCCCGTTCTTCGCATATTATCTTTATGTCGGTTTTATGGAATAAAATCTCCTCCATCTAGGAAAATTGTTGGAACTATCTGAATCACTCAAGAATAAATTCTTTGGAAGTTCTGGGAATATTTTCGTTTCTTATATCTAAATTAGGCCAAAAATATTGTAACACTGACAAACCTCACGAATTTTACCCATCATGCAAACGTCAAGATTTACAAACTACCGTCGGGTGAAGCCCCTTAAATTTTTTTACCATGCAATATATGGAAGAAAAGCAAACAAAATTGTTCTTTTGCTAAACAATAAAACATCAGTGTTTGAGACTAGTTTTAAAAGGTCTGCTTTTCAGCTGACAAAGCCAAAAGGTAAATTGAATCGAAGTATGACACTATTTTACCGGGATTTGTGGTGGAATTATGATATAGCAGTGTTGACTCAACCAAGATAGAAAACCTCCACCTCATCAGGTGTGAACTTATAAGTCCCAGCCAGGATTGTTTTTTGGTCCTTTATACCACTTGGGAGTGAATAAGAATTGCCAAAGAGTGTGTAGGAGTTTGTGTTACTGTTTGCATTATCTCTAATAGCAATGTCGGGTCCTCCACCAAATGTGGGCCCATAGCTTGAACTCCTGTAAATAGCATAACCAGTAACCAGGCTCTTGAATGGTGCCAGTCCTTCTTTATTTCGGAGAGAAAATATGAACGCCTTGGAAGTACTTGTGTAGCCACCACTGGACTCTGAAGAATAAGATGTGAAATAAACATATTATACATTGAATTTTAAGTTCCCTAGACCGTGGGAAAAAAAAAACTCCGACAATTTTTCTAGTTGTTTAATCCTTTGGGAAATACGAAGTATTTCGGAATGCCACAACTCTAATAGTGAGGACCTGATCGAAAGCTAACTGGCCTTTAAAGATTGAAGAAGAATAAGTTTTCTTCCCTTAGGTTTAATTAAACGTTTTTTTAAAACGAGAACTTGACAGTTATTTTAAAGAAAACCGAGAGAAAAATTTTCATACGTTTTGACTACTCAATTCTTTTTCCTTTCATGAATTTATAACTTGTTCGATCATTTTTTGGGGTCAGGATGTAAAAGCTTAGGTTAGATTGTTACTTTACATACACCTTTATGTCACTGAGTTACAATCAAATCAGAGAATAAGGAAAAGATATTCTTTTACCCCATGAAATGTCCGTGTATCCTCCAAACACGTACTGTCCAACTTTTATGATGGAGACTGTGTTCCGTTTCCCATCACACCTTCTGTGGAAGATACTGGTCGCCCAGCCATGAGAGGAGGCGCGGTAGCACAGCACCCATCGAGGATGACTTCCAACGGCAGGTTTCAAAAACTGATGGAGTTTGCTTTTATAATCCAAATTGCCTGCTAATATAGTCGAGGCTATTTGAGGTGCTAAAAAAAGGAAATAGGATACAGCTTTTCTTGAAAAAAGCTTTGATGTTTTTGTTTTGATCAACCTGATAGTAGTTGGTCTAAGTGAGGTGATGGCTTTTACGGCTAACAATTAACATTACGGCCATTTTACGGCTAACGATTGACTTCCTTTCTTTGTGATTAATTAAAACCACTTAACGGTTAACTTTTTGCGACACAATTAAATTGGTCATTTTTTACGCCTAACAGCTAAATATTTTCGTCATTTTACGGCTAACGGTTAAGCCCTTTGGGATCCTCTCAGTAACTTCGAACATTATGAATTCTATCGCAATGGAAAACATTTAATCAACGTCTAATTATAATCAGAAATAACAAGCGATGCAATTATTCCAAAATTTAAATATCTTTGGCATTAGCACCAGCTGATCCTTGATAAGTTTGTTCCTCTAGTAAGTATTTTTTTCATCCTCATCTTTACTATCAAGGGAGACTTTGTACATTTTGCAGATATAAAGAATTTTTATAGGAGCGAAGTTTTTCCCCTGCAAAGCTGTCACCGACTATTGCATAGAAATAATATTGAAAATTAAGAAAAAACAATTTTTCTTTAGTTTAATTAATTTTTAGCTGCACAATTTTGAAGCATATGAGTGAAGAAGGCATTTCATTGTCAATTTTTATCTTAGTCAGCCGCAAGGGGCGAAATATGCCGTGATATATTATGCTATCCATAGCTGCCAGTATTTAAACGAAAAAAGAGGCGATAACGCAATTGTAAACAGTGGCGTGTTCAACAAGACAAGAATCTTTTGAATCTGAACAGAGGTATTAAGGTTTAATTTAAGGAAAACAAGTTTGAAATGTTCCTTAAGTCGCTGAAAGGGTATAAAAACCTAAGTGAGTGTGAGATCTTGTGGATCCGGACCTTCACCTTTCTCTTGGTTTTCGTAACACTCACCTACATACTGTAGGTGAGTGTGGGGGGCACTTGGAACAAATAGAATTTAAATAAATTCATTTACTGAAGTCGACTGTTAGCAAAGGATGGCGTTCCCTTCCTGCTGAATATAAACCTTCCTTGAAATAATGAAAAAATTTAAACTAAAATTAAACCTTATATTTCCTGACCTTGCTCATCATAATCTAATGTTGTTAGGACACTAACAGATCCAAGCTTGTTGCTGGCTTTACACTGATATGTACCACTGTCTAAAGGACCAAAGTTGGCTATAATAAGGGTGCCATTCTTAGCAATCGTGGTCCGGCCTTGCGGTAACGGGACAAATCCTCTTGACCAAACTATAGTTGGTGGCGGAAAACCAAAAGCTCGGCAACGAATAGAGGCGACTGAGTTCGCAAGGACTTTAGTTAGCCTCTCGGGAGTATGGATGAATCGTGGAGGAGCTAGATTTAAAAAGGACACCAACATCATGAATTGATAATTTAAACTAACCGTAACGAACTAATCACTGGTATTTGTTTATCGCCCGGAAGGGAGGAGGGGAAGATGGGGGTGGGGGGGGGGGGGGGGCTCACGGTTTTCAGGGAGAAAGGAGGGGGAATCGGTTGTCACCAACAGAGCATATGACTGCTTCCCTACGAAAGACGCACGAAATCAAGTATTTTCATTATCAGCATCACCTTCAACGGTAAGTTTCACCGTCTTCTGAGCTTTTCCTAAGATGCTTGTGGCCACGCAAACATAGCTTCCTGAGTCGTTATAAGCAACATTTTTGATCTGCAATGTATTATCGTGACCGTTCATATTGACTTGTCCTGCACCACTCATTTTACTCCAAGTTACTCTGGGTTTTGGATTGCCATCAGCTGAGCAGCTAAACGTGGCGGTCTGATTCTCAGTGATTGTATGTGAGGCAGGAGAAACATAAACGTTTGGAGCAGATATGGACTGGCCAGGTTCCCCTTTAGGTCCTGGATGACCAGGAACTCCTCTGTCGCCTTAAAGAATATACACAGGCATGTGACAAACGCCTTAACTGAAATTTAGGGGAATGTCTTACAACTGTCGGAGCAAAATTATTTGGCGTGGTAAAGATTGGCTCTAGAGACATGGAGGAAGCCTGCTCACCCTTGGGCGCAGATTGCATCCATTTTACACTCTATGATAGATTTGTACTCGACAATGAACCTCTAGATTTTTCTTGATTTTTTTGAGATTTTGCTAGCCTTGGCATCGTATCAGAAACTTATTATTCAAAGCTAAATTTGTTAACTAGACTTATAGATGACGACCAAATTCCATCCCAAGAAAAAAAATTAACGGCCACATAAAACCTGGTGAAGTATTTTTCCACAAGTTAAAGATACATTTCTTGTAATAGATAACATTATGTCTCAACCAAAAGACGCTTATGATCTTTTTGTTTCAATCTTGCAATTGTGGTTTTAGATTCCAGCAAAATTTCCACTCATTTTGTTCCTAATGACAATGACTATTATGAATAAGGAAAGACAGAAATAAAGTGTCAATAGCTCTTGATTCATACCCTTTTCTCCCTTCATTCCAGGATTTCCAACATCTCCTTTCATTCCCGGTTCTCCAGATTTGCCAGGTGATCCCATAATGCCTTTCCCTCCCGTTTTTCCTTTAGATCCCCTTGGACCTCGTTTACCGCGATTTCCCGGAATTCCCCTTGGTCCCCGAGGCCCTGCCACACAGACTTTACCAGGGGAGAGGCAGTAAGTCCCTATGGACTCAGTTACAATAGAGGTCATGTACTTCCTGAAACCAGTGTCGGCTTCTGCTTGATTAACTGAGTCGCTCCGGTTGGTCGTTAAGCTGCGGCGAACAATTTTGACGTCCTGTTTCCTACCTAAAGAAAACGGCAAGGGTTAACCGTTTTTGTTTTGTTTTGTTTTAACATTGATTATATCAGATTTAAGCTTCACAAAGTGCTTTTTATTCCATGACCGAAACAAGGAAAACACGTTTTTTGCTACGTATTTTGTTCGGAAATCTTTTGTTTAAATCCTTTTCAGCAGAGGACGAGTCGAAGAGAAGCCACTGATTCGTTTGAAAAAATCTATTGAAAGATAAGTATACAATATGCAGTCGTGACTTGTTTCAATAAACGGGTCAAGTTTCTGATTAAGGTCAAATCTGTGTTGTCAAAACTTCTCTCATCATATCGCAATCAATAGAAATGCCCGAATACATTTCAGTTGTTCATGGCCTGATTTACATTAAAATGTAATCCACACAAACATCTCATTAGGTGGATTTTCTTAAGTCCATCAAACGTATGGGCTTGGTTATCTACTGTTTGCTTTGAGTAAAAGCGGTGGCAACTGAGTGCGCCCGGCTTACTTTCGTATGGATCCAGGACAGTTCGAGTTCAAGCGGCGCGCAGTTGTTAAGAAAATTTTATACTAAATTACCTACCGTTTGAAATGTCTCGGTCTTCACGAAGAACTTGGCAAGCAGCCCTCACAGATTCGAGAGCATCCCCCATTTCTTGAATTTTCAGAGTAAATTTTGAATCCAGCATTTTTGTGTTTGTCTCCGATCTAACAAAGAGAGACACCGTCATCAGAATGGCTGCAACAGACAACAGCGATGAAGCCTTTTGAAGACAGTCACCAAGTTTTTGACTTGATGAAATTTTCGTTTTCTGTGCGTTGATATCCATGGTGTTTTCCCTGCGTGCCTTGCTGTAAGTAAAAAAGGCACAAAAACAAATTCGTCAAACTCAGCAGTACTGATGATCATACAATTACTGCACAAGGTTTTGTTTACCGTTTCAGCCCTCAAGAAACTGCGGAATGAAGGAGCGCTACGGTTAGTTGTATCCAAAGTTGGAGGCAGTCCAAATTCTTTACGAGTTTACTATAATCCGGCTTCGTGCATCATTCAGTGTCAATAATAAAGACATCGGTAATTAGTTCTATCGTCGGCGTGTGGTTTTTAGCATTTCTCCAATATACTTACCATCTAACAAGGGTAGATTTTCCTCTCGGTTTTCGTGCTTCCGTCCTTCTAACAAAGAAACCTTAGTAGTTAGAGGCGACCTTTTCACGTGATGCTGTCTGTCATCAGTTTTTTGTCACAGCGGAGTACTTGAGGGTTTATGTGTACAGACCACACAGTTACCACCGCTGAAAGTATTGAATGCATTGTTTGTGATCTTATTCAGAAGTACCCTTGATTTTCAAGCTAGCTTTTGATCAACTTGCACTTTGCGTCCCAAGCAAAATTTGTTTTATGTTGGGATTCAACCAAACAGGATGTTCTAAACTGGAAATATTTTAACAGAAGTGTGACATTTGTATGTGTTTCTGTTCGACTACTATCAGTTCTAGGAAATATCGTGCGCGAGAACTTGATTGAGCTTGCTTTCAAATGAAAGAAACCTACCAAACCGAGAACAAAGTGGAATATGATCTTCGATTTCATCAGATCGCCTCTTGCAAAGAAAAGAGCGAATATAATATTACCATTAGAAAAAAACAGGCGCCTGAAATGTCACAACCTGTAGCGAGGGAATCTTTTCAACTCGTTTTTTATGATCGGATCTTTCATTTGCGAGTTTTCTGGGGGGGGGATGCTTATTAAGTTAGCGCAGCAGTAAGACAAAAATTTAAAGAACTGATAACGTACTCAAAAGAAACTATAGAGATAGAAATAACTGAAACGAAGAAGAAACCATCCTCCCGTACTGATTCTGCTGTAGTTGAGTCGTAAAAAGTTGGAAGTTAAGTGGCAATGGAAAGAAGTTTTCCCTGTATATACCATTAAGGAAGAGAAGGGAGAGAGGTTATTCGAAAGGAGTGCTTGCCGACATTATGGTCTTGAGGGTGGGAGGGTATTCGGTGGAGGGCGCTTATTCGAGAAAATACGATGTGTCTTGTAGGGCAGACCTGACAGTTAGTGGAGCTTCTGGTCATTCTAGTCCGTCCAACCGTGAGCAGCCCGTGCAAAGCTCCTCCGGTCTTTGATAACTTCATTCCCTTCACGTTTTCGGTAAAACTCAAACTTTAATTATTTCATTTCAGTAAAGATCGTGTAGTCCGACACGTGAACTTAAAGCTTTCTTAATTTGAATGTACCTTGGCTTGCAATTATATTACTTAGTTAAACCATGACATGCGTCATCCCTCAAATCTCGTCTACAGGCGCGCTGCTACTCATTCCAATAGACTAATAATCTATCTCAAAATACAGATCAGCATACATCATGTCGGTTTCTTTCGTTGTCCAGTTTTATCCAGACTCAGTATACCTACATTCAGGATCTAAGAATTTAAGACATGAGCATTATGCGCCAATCAATTCGAAGTTCGATACCTCTCCCCTCCTCCTCAACGGGTATTTGACCATCGTCTGTTCCCGAGGGGTTTGGGGATGTGTACTTTGCCTGGGTGGGGTAATATGGGGAAGTACCAGAACATAGTTTACTTTAGCGAGAAGAGGACTATAGAGAAAAGGTCTACAAGAAAGTCGCAGTCGACAATCAGATCTGATGGCTTTTAGTGACCTAGAAGAACGAAAACATAAAAATTTTCCAGAAAAACAATACGCTGGCGCGCGCGCCAACATTGTGCAAAAACCCTATGGAGCCTCGTCGAGAGGACCATTCTTTCAGGACGCGTGATCAGTTGCTTTGGGTTGTTATGTTTGCTTCTGTGGTCATAACATACTATTCTTTGCACTAAGTATGGCGAAGGTCCCCATTGGTCAGTGCTTTGGAGTTTCGTTGCTGTAGAGAAATTCACTAAGCAAACCAAAAGCTAACTTTTGACCGCAGCATCGAAAGAATTAGCCGTTTAACACGAGGCACGATTATTTATTCTCTCCAGCCCGTCTTCGACTTACATTGATTACATCTCAACCTTAGCCGTATTCATAAAAACTCGGTTTATTATCGTTCACGACTATTTTAAGGAAATTATCTCAAATTTCAATATGGTCCTCAGGACTGGAAATAACTTAGTTATACTTATCTAGAGTTAAAAATAGGAGTTTGCTCGCGACCGTTGTACTTTTCCTCCTTCGCATTACGTAATCGAATCAAGTGACTTCTGAGATTGGAATCTCGTTCTTCGCATATTATCTTTATATCGGTTTTATGGAATAAAATCTCCTCCATCTAGGAAAATTGTTGGAACTATCTGAATCATTTAAGAATAAATTATTTGGAAGTTCTAGGAATATTTTCGTTTCTTATATCTAAATTAGGCCAAGAATATTGTAACACTGACAAACCTCACGAATTTTACCCATCATGCAAACGTCAAGATTTACAAACTACCGTCGGGTGAAGCCCCTTAAATATTTTTACCATGCAATATATGGAAGAAAAGCAGACAAAATTGTTATTTTGCGAAACAATAAAACATCAGTGTTTGAGACTAGTTTTAAAAGGTCTGCTTTTCAGCTGATAAAGCCAAAAGGTAAATTGAATCGAAGTATGTCACTATTTTACCGGGATTTGTGGTGGAATTATGATATAGCAGTGTTGACTCAACCAAGATAGAAAACCTCCACCTCATCAGGTGTGAAGTAATAAGTCCCAGCCAGGATTGTATTTCGGTCCTTTATACCACTTGGGAGTGAATAATAAGAGCCAAAGCGTGTGTAGGAGTTTGTGTTACTGTTTGCATTATCTTTAATAACAATGTCGAATCCTCCACCAAATGTGGGCCCATAGCTTGAACTCCTGTAAATAGCATATTTAGGCGTAGTAACCAGGCTCTTGAATGGTGCCAATCCTTCTTTATTTCGGAGTGAAAATATGAACGCCTTGGAAGTACCTGTCCAGCGACCACCAGACTCTGAAGAATAAGATGTGAAATAAACATATTATACATTGAATTTTAAGTTCCCTAGACCATGGGAAAAAAAAAGCTCCGACAACTCTTCCGATCGTTTAATCCTTTGGGAAATACGACGTTGTTTCGTTATGCCGCAACTCTAATAGTGAGGACCTGATCGAAAGCTAACCGGCCTTTAAAGATTGGCGAAGAATAAGTTTCTTCCCTTAAGTTTAACTAAACGTTTTTTTTAAACGAGAACTTGACAGTTACATTAAAGAAAACCGAGAGAAAATTTTCATACGTTTTGACTACTCAATTATTTTTCCTTTCATGAATTTATAACTTGTTCGATTATTTTTTGGGGTCAGGATGTAAAAGCTTAGGTTAGATTGTTACTCTAGATAAACCTTTATGTCACTGGATTACAATCAAAGCAGAGAATAAGGAAAAGATATTCTTTTACCCCATGAAATGTCCGTGTATCCTCCAAACACGTACTGTCCAACTTTTATGATGGAGACTGTGTTCCGTTTCCCATCACACCTTCTGTGGAAGATACTGGCCGCCCAGCCGTGAGAGGAGGCGCGGTAGCACAGCACCCATCGAGGATGACTTCCAACGGCAGGTTTCAAAAACTGTTGGAGTTTGCTTTCATAAACCAAATTGCCTGCTAATATAGTCGAGGGCATTCGAGGAACTGAAAAAAAAGGAAATAGGATACAACTTTTCTTGGAAAAATCTTTGATGTTTTTGTTTTGATCAAACTGTTAGCAGTTGGTTTCTGTGGGGTGATGGCTTTTACGGCTAACAGTTAACATTTCGGCCATTTTACGGCTAACGATTGACTTCCTTCCTTCGTGATTAAATAAAAGCTTTTTAGGGCTAACTTTGTTACGACTTAAAGTTAAAAGTGGTCAATTTTTACGCCAAACAGCTAAATCTTTTTGCCATTTTACGGATAACGGTTAATCTCTTTGGGAACCTTTTAGTAACTTTGATCATTATGAATTCTGTCGCAATGGAAAACGATTAACCAACGTTTAATTGTAATCAAAACTAACAAGCGATGCAATTATTCCAAAATTTAAATATCTTTGGCATTAGCACTAGCTGATTCCCTACAAGTTTTTTTCATCCTCATCCTTATTAGCTGTACTCTTCGCAGATATAGATAATTTTTACCGAAGCAAAGTTTTTCCCTGCAAAGCAGTTGACGACTATAACATAGAAATAATATTGAAAATAAAAAAAAATTTTCGTGATTTTTCTGTAGTTTAATTAATTTTTAGTTGTACAATTTTGAAGCATATGAGTGAAGAACGCATTTCACTGTCAATTTTTTTATCTTAGTCAGCCGCAGGCGGCGAAATTACTAGATATTACTAAGAAAACTTTACAGGATCGTTATGCTACCCTAGTTTCCAATATTTAAACAAAAAAATAGGCGATAACACAAGTGTAAACAGAGGCGTGTTCAACGAGACAAGAATCTTTTGAATTTGAACAAAGGTATTAAGGTTTACTGTAAGGAAAACAAGTTTGAAATGTTCCTGTGAGGGTATAAAAACCTAAGTGAGTTTGAGATCTTGTGGATCTGGACCTTGAATATAAACCTTCCTTGAAATAATGGAAAGTTTTAAACTGAAATTAAAACTTATTTTTCCTGACCTCGTTCATCATAATCCAAGGTTGTTAGCACACTAACAGATCCAAGCTTGTTGCTGGCTTTACATTGATATGTACCATTGTCTAGAGGACCAAAGTTGGCGATAATAAGGGTGCCATTCTTGGCAATCGTGGTCCGGCCTTGCGGTAACGGGATGAATTCTCTCGACCAAACTATAGTTGGTGGCGGAAAACCAACAGCTTGGCAACGAACAGAGGCGACTGAGTTTGCAAGGATTTTTGTTAGCCTCTCGGGAATATGGATGAATCGTGGAGGAGCTAGATTTGAAAAGGAAACCAACAGAAAAAATTGATAATATAAACTGCATGGAAAGAACTAGTCGCCGGTCTTTCTTTGTCGCCTGGAAGGGAGGAGGGGAAGGTTTTCAGAGAGAAAAGAGGGAGAATCGGTTGTCACCAACACAGTATATGACTGCTTCCCTATGAAAGACGCACGACATCAAATAATTATCAGCATCACCTTCAACGGTAAGATTCACCGTCTTCTGAGCTTTTCCCAAGATACTTGTGGCCGTACAAACATAGCTTCCTGAGTCATTATAAGCAGCATTTTTAATCTTCAACTTATTATCGTGACCGTTCATACTGACTTGTCCTGGACCACCCTCTTTACTCCAAGTTACTCTGGGTTTTGGATTGCCATCAGCTGAGCAGCTAAACGTGGCGGTCTGGTTCTCAGTGATTGTATGTGAGGCAGGAGAAACATCAACGTTTGGAGCAGATATGGACTGGCCAGGTTCACCTTTAGGTCCCGGATGACCAGGAACTCCTTTATCGCCTTAAAGAATATAGACAGGCATGTAGCAAACGCCTAATGGAAATTTAGGGGGGAATGTCTTACAACTGTCGGAGCAAAATTAATTGGCGCAGTAAAGATTGGCTTTGAAGACACGGAGGAAGCCTGCTCACCGTTACACTTTATGATGGATTTGTGCTCAATAATGAGCCTCCAGATATTTCTTTATTCTTTTGCGATTTGGCATCGATTTGGCATCGTATCAGAAACTTATAGTTCAAAGCTAAATTTGTTAACCATATTAGACCTATAGATTACGACCAGATTCCATCCCAAGAAAAGAAAATTAACCACCACATAGAACCTGGTGAAATCCTTTTCCACAAGTTAAAGATACGTTTATCGTAGTAGATAACAATCTGTCTCAATCAAGAGATGCCCATTCTTGGTTTCATTCTTACAATGGCAGGGACCGCACAGCAAGTTTTTGAGGGCAAGGGCTATTTTTGGCTTCGTTAAAGCCCCCCAGCTCCCCTCTGCGCCTGCATCGTGGTAAAGATTCTAACAAAATTTCCACTCATTTTGTTTTCAATGACGATGATTGTTATAAACAAGGAGCAAGGGAGGGAGGGAGGGAGGGAGGGAGGGAGGAAGGGAGGGAAGGAGGGAGGGAGGGAGGGAGGGAGGGAGGAGGAGGGAGGGAGGGAAGGAAGGGAGGGAGGGAGGGAGGAAGGGAGGGAAGGAGGGAGGGAGGGAGGGAGGGAGGGAGGGAGGGAGGGAGGGAGGACCTTTAGCGTATCTGCGACAAGGCTGTGGAATCAACTACCCATAAACCTAAAAAAAGAGGCGACAACAGTTGCTTCTTTCAGAAAGGCCTTTCACAGACATTTTCTAACGAGCTATGATGAAGTAGAACATTTCAGTCCGAATGCGATTTAACCCGACCCAAGTGGCATATTTCATTTTATCTAGTTTTTAGCTTGCATTCTTATAGACCTGTTGACCTGTCTTATAATCCTCGAATGCATTTTAATTCTAATTACGGCACTTTTAGGATCGAGGGCCAAACATTGTGTGTTACTCTCCTAAATATAAAAAAAATAAATAAAAAAGTGCTAGTAGCTCTTGATCCATACCCTTTTCTCCCTTCATTCCAGGATTTCCAACATCTCCTTTCATTCCTTGTTTTCCAGGTTTGCCTTTCACTCCCCTTTTTCCCCTAGATCCCCTTGGACCTCGTTTACCGCGCTTTCCCGGGATTCCCTTTGGCCCCCGCGGCCCTGCCACACAGACTTTACCAGCGGAGAGGCAGTAAGTCTTTACAGACTCAGTTACGAGAGAGGTCGTGTACTTCCTGAAACCGTCTTTCAGTTGATTAACTAAATCACTCCGGGTGGTGGTTAAGCTGCGACGAACAATGCTGAAGTCGTGTTTCATATCTAAAGAAAAGCGCAAGAGTTAATCGATTTGCTTTTTTTTTTTTTTTAACATTAATTATATCATATTTATGTTACACAAAATTCTCCCTCCTTCATGACCTAAAAAAGGAAGGCACGCTTTTTTGCCACTTATCTTGTTCAGAAATATTTTGTTTAAATCCTTTTCTGCAGAGGACGAGTCGGAGAGAAGCAACTAATTCGTTTGAAATGAAAAATTTAAAGATAAGTATATAATGGGCAGTCCTGACTTGTTTCAATAAACGGGTCAAGTCTCTGACTTAAAGTCAAATCTGTGTTGACAAAACTTCTCTCAATATATCACAATCAAGAGAAATGCTCAAATACATTTCAGTTGTTGGTGGGCTGATTTGCATTAAAATGTCATACGCACAAACACTTCATTGGATAGATTTTCTTAAGTCTCTTGTTTGTTTTGACTAAAAGCGGTCGCAGCCGAATGCGCTCGGCTTGCTTTAGTATGGATCAAGTACAACACCGCCAAGCAAGCGACGTACAATTGTTAAAAAAATTTTCTTCTAGATGACCTACCGTTGGAGATGTCTGAGTCTTTACGAAGTAGAGTAGCTCTCACAGATTCGAGAGCATCTCCCATTTCTTGAATTTTCAGCGTAAATTTTGAATCCAGCATTTTTGTGTTTGTCTCCGTTCTTACAAAGAGAGAAACCGTCATCAGAATGGCTGCAACAGACAACAGCGATGAGGCCTTTTGAAGACGGTCACCAAGTTTTTCTCTTGATGGAATTTTCGTTTTCTGTGCGTTGATATCCATGATGTTTTCCCTGCGTGCCTTGCTGTAAGTAGAAAAGGCACAAAACAAACTCGTCAAACTCAGCGGTAATAATCATACAATTACTGCACAAGGTTTTGTTTACCATTTCAGCACTCGAGAAACTGCGGAATAAAGGAGCGCTACGGTTAATTGTGTCCAAAATTGAAGGCAGTCCAAATTCTTTACGAGTTTACAATAATCCGGCTTCGTGTATCATTAAGTGTGATAAAGGCAGGTAGGTAAGTATTTTATTTATCCACTTTACACGGTGAGTACAAGACTCGTTTAAACGTGAACGTGCTAAATTACTATAAATTCAGACATAAAGACAATCGGTAATTAGTCCTAACGTCGGCGTGTGGTTTTTAGCATTTTTCAAAAATATTTATCATCTAACAAGAGTAGACTGTCCCTTCGGTTTTCTGCCCTTCTAATAAAGAACCTTAGAATTTAGAGGCGACCTTTTTTATGGGATGCTTGAACGAGGTGCTTGAACGAGGTGCTTAGCACTACTAACGATTGTTAAATCACTGCAGGAGGTTTAGTTTACCATTTCAGCGCTCAAGGAACTACAGAGTAAGGAAGCATTACGGTTATTTATATTCATTGCTGGAAGCTGGCCAAATTCAACTCTAGTTCGCATTGAACCGGCTTCGTACATTATTTAGTGTGATTTATAAATCGGTAGTTCTAACGTCAGTTCCGGTTTTTTTCACCATTTTCTCCAAAGAGTTACCGTCTCAAAAGTGTCCATATTCCGTTCAGTTTTCGTGTTTCTGTTCATCTAATAACGAAACCTTACAAGGTTGAATCGATCTTGTCTGTCACCCGTTCTTTGTCACGGCAGAGTAAGTGAGTGTCCATCGGTTTACAGAAGCTCTTAGACCTGATAGCCTGAACGTCATCCTTTCCTCGTAATCTTTCTCAAGCTAACCTCTGTACAGGCTTGGACTTAGTGTTCTTAACATAAAATTGGCTGATTAACCTATTAAAGCCTCCTACCGGTCAAATTATTCATTGAGAACTTAAATTGTGTCAGAATTTGCCGCATATGCAGATCCTCATAACAGCTCTATTAAGTGTCGCTGCTTCAAGGGCAGAATTAGTCTTCGATGCTCAGAGACGTTTGCAGGAAACGCTTGACTTTACAACCGTGTGTGCTCTTAAGAGACGTAAGGGTGTTATGCCCGTTAATTAATTTAGCTGGTCCTCGGTAACGAAGCCGTGAGCGATTCAAACAAGAGAAATAACGTTCCATCATTTCTTTTTGGTATCATGTTCCGCCAGAATGGTTTTTTCTGTCATTTACTCTACTATGGACTAAATAAGAATCGTCGAAGTTTCCAAAGGAGTTTGATCTTCATTCTCAGGGACAGCGCAATTGTTAGAATTGCAAATACTGCCGACAACACCAAGGAAGCCTTGTGAAGCTTATTGCATTTCTTAGCATGTCTCACTTTTATTCCATCTACGTGTACATCCATTACTGTTTGACGATTAACAATTCTGGGATAATGTAATGCGAAAAAAACTTGATTGAGCTTAGCTTTCAAGAGTGAGAAAAAGCCTATCAAACAGGTAACACAGGTCGAACATGATCATTTATTTCATCAGATCGACTCTCTCAAAGAAAGCAGCGAATATAATAGTATCATTGGAAAAAAAACACAGGCGCCTGAAATGTCATAACCTGTCACTCAAATGGTTGGAGATTCAGGCAAGGAAAATAAAGGGGTTTGAGTTAATTGAGTCTAAGTTTACAGGGTTCCTCTGTAGTTTGCCTCTCATGAGCCAATAAATAGATAAACATTAACGGCATTTGATCTTGAAATATCCTTTTTCACTACTCTGCATTCATGAGGTTGTTGGCGGAATAATACTGCTGGCATGTAAAGTGGTAGGTGTCAGTGGAGGCACTGTCGTTCCCGGGATTTTGGCCCTCTTGTTGAAGACATATATATCCGAGATAATAGCCTGGAAAATGATACAAATGCCTACAAATGCCATAAAAGTTATCTTCTTGGCTTCCTGCAAAATGGAAAAAATAAGATAGATGTCAGAATTCTTGGTCTTCAGAAGGGAACAAAGAAAACTTTGATTCAACATTCTGAAGATTCGAACTTCAGTCAGTTCTGATTTCTCAGTCAGATGCTCTACTACAGGGAATGCTTTAAGAGGTTGCTGCACATCCTTCAAGAAGTTGTGTCAGAAAACTCCTAAAACCATCCAATTCTGGCCTTTGCCGCTACACAATTCCCTGTAAATTAGTTGCCAGAATTTGGTGTAACATTAAGATAAAGAGTTAACCCCCAGAAGTGGCTAACATGTAACTTATCCTTATGATATCCATAAGTATTTGAGCAAATGGTCCATGAGAATCACTGAAACTTATCAGGTAGAAGTTGTTATCTTGATCAAACACCAAATTCTCTTAACTAAATTACAAGGAAATGTGTAGAGCTAGAGGGGAGAATTATGGATCAGATCTTGGGACTAAAAGGGTTAAAGGGTTAATGTGTATATTAATTTTGTAGTGTTAAATGTCAACTCAAAACCAATCAAATCCAAATAAACAAAACAATTGTTTACTCACAATAATTCCTTTGTGATACCACCATGTCTAGAGAAAAAAATATATATTTACATCCATTAATTAATGTGAAAAAAAAAACACTGCTTAATTTCACTACAAAGATAATTTGAACATTTAGTTTCTTGCAGTTCTCCACACCCAAAAAAGATATAAATTCTTGCATATAGTTAAAAATAATTTTATAATTAAAATTAGTGATAAGGTTAGATCATCAGATCAAGACTGAGGTGAAGTACTTACAATAATGCCTCCAATCACACTACTAACTGTAGAACAAGAAAAGGAAATATGTGTTATTATTTTAATAAGCTTATAAAAACTAGCTCAAATTTTATTTGCCGCATGATGGTTAGGATATGATAAAATACCAGTACATAGGAATTGTAATTGTAGATGTAATCAAAAACAGTAATTTTAACTCACAGTAATTTGTTTATGATTCAGGGACTGTAAATACTTATTCTGCTTACTGAAAAACAATGATTTATGTGTTTATAAGCAGAGAGAATCTCAGGTAATACAGTAAATCGCAAAATAGACGCATATCCTGTGGTTCATACCCCCCCCCTCATCTTCCCTATATTTCACTGCAATGAGGAGATGCCAGAGAAAATCCTTCAGTAGAGTTTTGTTAATGATGTTGTTTGCTCATTTGCATATTTTATTTGAATTTTTAACAGTTTTCTGGTTTAAAACTGTGATGAGACATACATCAGTTGTATCAGTCACTTGTACCCACATTTACAGTAGCCTCATAAAAGTATAGAACCCTATATCTGACTCTGATGTAATTCTCACCGTTTGACAAATGAGGTTAGGATTTAAAAAAGAGTCTTCTAGTAAGTGTTACCAAATGACACTGTAATTACTGGTAAAACTAAAAGATATACAGCTTTACAGTATCATCGGAGTGGCTGAGAGGTTATTTTTTCCCTAAACTGAAGAGGGCATCAGGCAACACATGCATAATTATACTGCAAAATAATTACAAATGTATAATCATGTGTATGTACCATTAAAGTAACAAATAAATTCCATGTTGCCGTTTTTCTGTTCAGTAATGGATTGCAGATGATATCAAAATGTGGTAAGAATAAAGTCATTCATAGTCAGCAACCAAGTGTGTCGCTGATGTTCTGATCGAATTTTACAAATGTGTCTGAAAAAACATACAAATAACATGCGATCTAAATGTTTGAAAATGAAGCAAAATTTTGTCAAAGGCATTATGTCATGTGTGTATGTCCTTCAATAGATCATATGTGAGAACCAAAAAACCCTTTAACTCCCAGAAGTGATTAACCTGTAACCTCTCCCTACAATATCCCTACAATATCCAGCAAACAGGTGTTGAGAATACTCAAACTTATCAGGTAGAAGTTGTTATCTTGATCTAACACCAAATTCTTGGAACTAATTTACAGGGAAATGTGTAGCAGCTAGAGGGGAGAATTAACAATCAGATCATGGGAGTTTAAGGGTAAAGACATGTGTGCAACTAACCATGTTAATGTTAAATTATACTCACTTAGCATATTAACAACTATAAGGTAATTCATGGCGTCCTCAGAGGCCTTCACAAAGCTAATGATCAATGTAATCTGTTTAAACAAAGACATTTCTCTCATCAGTTCACAAGTAACGAGGTTTAAAACCAATTGTATCTCTAATGTAGAGCAAAAGTTACAATGCAACTCATGGAGTGTGTAGGAGTATCACGCTCCACCCTGAACAGGATGCCAGTCTATCACAAGGTTCCAACCCCCCCTAAGAATCTTGTCACAATTCCTTGACATGTCACTGATTACCATTAATACTCCTACGTGGAGAGAGGCATTGTGTAGGTTAATCCTTTACTCCCTAAGATCAGTATGCATATTCTCCATACTACTCCATAGACATTTCCTAGGGTTCTGGTGAGGAGAATTTGTTCAACAATCAAGAGATTCTTTAGGTGGTGATCATTTCCTTTATTCTCATGACCTTAATGTTTGATTTAGGAGTGTTCTTGTGAGGCGAAATTAGATGTTGGTCACTCTTAGGGGTTAAAGGGTTAACTTCATTGCCCAAGAACACAACAAAATGTTCCACTTGTCTTCTTAAGGCTCAGTGAACATTTTTAAAGAATTTTAGAAACTTAAACCACTATGGTGCAATCAAAATCATAGTATACATACCACAACAATTATTCCTGTGGACATAGCAAGAGCCCTTAACATTAACTTCTGCAAGTAGAGAGAAATTAAACATTTATTGGCTTTGCCACGTCAAGAGTAAAAAGATGACAGATGAAAAATTGTATTTTTTGCTTACGACTGTGATATCATGCATAGTGAGTCACAATCATGCATAATATCCCCACTGCAGAGCTTGTATTTAAGACAAGATCTTACAAGAACTGAATAAGCTACTCTGCTTACATGTCACCCTCAAAAAAGGAGTTAACTGGATACAACCCCTACTGCCAAGATCCATGGCTGGTCTCTAGGGGGCTGATAAGAATAGACACATCCAACCTTAATTATTATGCATTAATATGTTTGATTTTCATTATTTTTCTGAGCATGAAGTCTAGTTTTGTACACTCCACTGAAAAGAATGCCACTATGAGACAGAGCCTGGACACTCCTTACAGTGTACAGTAAAGGGAGAGTGGAGGAGAGAGAGGGAAGGGGGTAGGGGGTGGGAAATGTGACCGAAAATCGAAAATTCTTGCATACAGGAAGTAAATTACGAGCCAGCTGGACTTATACATGTTTCTTCGTGCTAATACAACTAAAATCAAAATTTCATAGATTTGAGTAAAGTGCATCCGTTGGGAAGTCAAAGCAAAAAATGAATAAGAGCAAGACTAAAACACAAAACGAGCGTGGAGAAAAAAAAATCTTAGAGGGACTGCTTTGCTCAGCATCTTCTCTCATTGCAGGAAACGTCTTGCACGATGCACTAGGAGCTTTTAAACTGAAAGATCCCACACTCGTATAAGTTCAAAATCCAAACATAATCTTATAACACAATATAGTAGACCAATTAATTTCAGCATTCGTACCGTTAAAGGAGAAACCTCGTAGTACAAAGGCGCTGGTTTGTCGGGATCCATCTTGAGTAATATCTGCGTGTTTGATCTGTCATCCGGAGGCGAGAATTGTCCGGAGATGTTCGGAACTTCTCGGGAAAGTTCGTTAAAATTTCGTAATAAACATGGAGGAAGATAGCGGTAGACAGAGGCTTCTCGATGGAGGACAGCCTTTTCCTTCTTCGTTACCCCAGTCTCCTCCGAACGAATACGACAATGCGCTTTATCACGAACAGGGAAAAAGTCCGAGAGAGGTAGGCCTTCATGTGTTGCCGTGTGAGAGATGGATGATTACAAATTGTAACGACTAGCTTGACCGGAACGAATCATGAAGTACTGTACTTACTTGTATCATTGTCAACTGTTTTGTTTCCTGTTTCTTGGCCTTCTGTTATGTAAATACTGATTACATTATTTCACTGTTTGTTGTTCTACAACAGTGAGCATATTGCTTCACTTAACGTACGACCTTGGTGCAGATGCAATGCAAAGAAAGTGGACTTTACTTAAAACATCGTCCCTGATGAAGTTTTGATGATTCTACCTTTGTGAAATAATGTCCGATGTGCATTCCCTCATCTTCACACATTTTAACTTGCATCTGATTTACAACGGAACGTATCACCATAAAATGTAGTGGCAACTAGATTTTGTTTTGTTTTAAGTAGCCTTGCAGAATCCATATTAAGACGACTCATTTTCCTCAAACGAATAAACTCGTCTTTTACCGGGACTTGTATATTTACTGCATAAATGCATCATTTTGCATGCTTAAGTGTCAAGCGACTTTTACACGATAGAGAAAGAACGGTGTTCATTTTCCAAATTGCCTACTCACTAAGTTAAGCAGTTGCTTTTATGAAAAAGTGGCCGATACAAGCCTTTTACAGGCAGCAACAAGACTTCCGGCCTCACAGTATTTCTCGAGGATATATAATTATTCATTCAACTCATTGTGATTAAATTAATATGTTCATACAACTCATTATGAGTAAATTACTCTGTTCATGTTCTGACTTTTTGTGTATTTGCTTTTTTTGTAGACACTTATCATGTACTTCTTTATGCTGTTTGTGATCATTATGGTCATGGTATGTACAAAGAAATTTGCTAGGATAAATAATCAGACTCAATTGTTGTCTTTGTGACTGTCCGTGGTGCTAGAAATACCTTATTACATTAACTCCCACGGGTGACTAAAAAATAATTTCTCTATACAATATAAAAACAATATCAAGCAGGCAAGTGATGAGAATAAAGTGAAAGATCAGTTGGGGGATAGTTGTTGATGCTATACAAATTCTCCAAGCAAAACTCACAAGAATTGTATAGCAGACAGTAAGGAAAAAATACTAATGCCATAAAAATATATTGGCATTGGTATTTTGCATGGAAAAAAAAGCACCAAAAAAGTGTAAAATTTCACCCCATTTGTAAAGGCTAGGCCTTGTGTAAGTGTTACCTTTATCCATTGGGTCAAGTTTAAAAGAAATGCTTGGACTTAAATCTAGAAAAAGAGTTACATGTAATTTGGTGCTTGACTTACCAGTAATGAAAATTATGAAACCATTTCACCAGAAAATTTTCCTCAGACTCACAACTACAGCTTTGTGCACTATATGTGCTGTCACTAGAAATGCACATGTGATATTTTTACTTCTGCATTGCCATAGGATATTATTATTAATTAACTCTTTCTCTCCAAGAAGTGACCAACATGTAACCTCTCCCTGTAGTACCCATGTAGTACATTATCCAGCAAACAGATATTGAGAAAACTCTAACTCATCAGGTAGAAGTTATTATCTTGATCAAACACTAAATTCTCATAACTAGACATTTGAACGTGTCCTTTAGTAGCTTGTCATAATGATGTGGGATATTGATCAAATGAAGCCTTTAAGTGCTACTGTGGTTCTTTCTTTATTCAGAATGGCGAAAGCTCGGAGTGAATAAAGAAAGAACCACAGTAGCACTTAAAGGCTTCATTTGATCAATATCCCTCTCATAACTAGGTTACACATAAATGTGTAGGAGCTAGAGAGGAGAATTAACAATCAGATCTTGGGTGTTTAAGGGTTAATAGATTTTTATGCATTCATTTGGTTTGACAGATTACCATTATACTGTCTTTGTATCGTGGTGCAGCAGTGGATTCTACATACATATTGTTAGGAGTCAGCATCATTTGTAAGTACATGCCTTGGAACAAACACAAAATTATTGAGGTATCTAATAACTGTTTGGCCCTTAAGAGCTACTAGCATTTAATTTCTCCTCACAATTCCAACCTTGAATCACACATTAAGGACTCACAAGAATGAAAGGAATGATCACATACTAACTAAAGTAGCTCTTGATTGTTTCAGAAATTCTCCTTGTCAGCACCTTAGGAAATGTATAGAGAACAGTATGGAGAATAAGCATGTTGATATCAGGGCCTTTGTGCATGGGAACCAGCGATTTGTGTGGCACCAATTTTTTTCTTTGGGCTGGGCTTAAGCAACTGTGCTGTTTTTTTTTACAAATAAAAGCTTTATCATGAACATGATGGTATATTGCTTTTCTCTCAAGGAAAATTTCAGTTTACAAGAGTTTCCAGAGCCGGGACAATTGTAGTTCTTGATATCATGAATGCTCTTATTTTTCCAGGAGCAATTTTTAAGCATCAAGGTCTTTTTGATTATTAATTTTTTTTCTGATGCTATTATTGGAGTCTTAATTCATTATTGATTTCTTAATGTTCTTCTATTTTGTAGCTATTGGTATGGTGGAGTTAGTTTTGGTAAGGTGGTTTTTCACATTTGAAATAATTGTTTTTTTCTCTGTTTCTTACAAAAAAGTTAATGTACCATAAAACACACAAATAAGCTGCACCTTTTTTCCAAAAATTGTCACTAGAAATTGAGGGTGTGGCTTATCTGTGGGAACATTTCTATTTTCACACCTGATCTAATGCCTGGTTACATTCTTGTTGTAATGCAAAAATCTATGGAGAAACTGTGTTGATTTCTTTCGAAAAACTTTTCCAAAATTTGAGCTGCTAAATTCGGGGTGTGGCTTATATGCGGGTTTTTTATGGTAAAAGTATTTAAATCTAGCTGTTAGCCAAATTGACTGATTTTGTCAGATGTTTTCTTAGTAATTTTGTTTTTTAAGAATTAGATTGACAGGATACCTAAAGATTTTTAGTTGTCAAATGAGTTTTGTCAGACTAATCTTGCGTCTTTTTACTGACATTGGGTCCAAGTTTAATGTTGGTTTCATAATGGTTTTGTCCAGTTATGTGTTGTTTTATCGTTCATTAAATCAATTTATGCATCAGTTTACAAGTGCATTAGGGAACTGTGCTTATACTTGGTAGTTTACCAACACATGCAGTTATTTTAACTCTCTTTGAAATAAATCACAGACTTGTAATTGTATGCCCCAAAGTAATAGATGTAATTTGATGATGCTTTTCAAAAATTAAAAGATTACATTACTGTGTAACTCTGTAAAGAGACTTAACTGCCAAAAAGAATTGTGTTAAAGAAAAATATAAAGAAAAACTTAAAGCTAGTACTGCATACTGTCAAATTTTGTCACAAATGATTGTTTGTTCCACTCAACACAACAACCAACATTCCAGAAATATTTCTGAGTCTATGGTCCTCTGAGTTTTGCATTATTGCATGTAAAACTATATGTGGAATATCAATGAGTATATATGATTATTCATGTTATCACAGGTTCACTGGACAAGATCAGGGGAACTTCCTGCAGAGAAATTGTGGTTCTTGTACTTCGTGGGAATCTGTATCTCTTTGGAGTCCATTTTCACAGATGTGCTGTTATATCACAGACCTGAACCATCAACTTAGAGAAATCACTAGTCTTTATATAATTTAGTTCTAGTTTATTTAAATTTACATCAGCGGAGATCTAGGTTTGTTTTTTAATGTCCAATCATTGTAGCTAATGAATTATGTTATAAATGTTTGGTTTGCACATGTCACCCTTCTCATTTTTAAAGAAAAAAATGGCAAAGGTGAGTTTGTGCTGAAATACAAAGTGAGTGTGATTAAGTCCTATCGATTGTGAATTACTGCAAGATAATCTGGAAATTACTCAAAATACTAATATCACCCTTTTGAGATTTTACAGAGTCAAACCTTGTTTGTTATTGTTGTTTTGTATTGAATAATTTTTTTGTATTGAACTTACGGTATTATGAGTCAGAGACAATATTATTTAATCAATGGTAAAATTTAGGAACGAAATGTGGCTATGGTTTCTGCGCCTTTTCGCTTCCCTTTCATTCTTTACCAGCACCTTGTCCTCTTCTGTGTATTCTGTGTCATTCTGTGAGGGTGAGAAGTTGCAAACACTAACGCGTGCGCTTGTTACAATAAATTGTTTCGTGACTTGCGTGACAATCTTGAAGTTTCGTGAGTATGGCCTACGTCGCACAACAGCCCAAACCAAAAATTAAACAGGCAAAAAATTTTCGGAAAGTTGAAACCGAAACGGGAAGTTCTGAAAAATGTGACAATTTTGGGTCGCACTACCGAAATACATCAATAGGTTAAAATAAACACAGGTGATCAGATTTTATTTCTGGTGCGTGTTGTGCGTATTGTGATAAACATGAACGTAAATCAGGCCTTTTGCTTTGCTTTTCCCATTCTACTCCTGTTTGCCTTTTTCATTCTGTATCGGCAGCTTTTCAAGTCCATGTAAGATGCAGTAAATAGTTGCATGTTGGAATGCTACTATAATTAGGTTAGCCGAAAAGTTAGAGAATCTCATGCTGTTAAGCATACAAGTTGATTTGTGTAACTAGATGCATGACTGGTTTTTTTTGACAAGCTAAGTAGTGTGACGGAGTTGAGTTCACTCAAGTGTGACTGAGGTTGAGTTAAACGGCGGTAGTGGTTATTCGAAGTTTGGCAGAGGCCGTGTATCAGTGTTTACTGTGACGAGTTGTTTCAGAGTTTTATCAGCTGTGAAGACTACATTCATCAGGAATAAATCATCTTTGTTGCTGTTCCGACATCCCTGCGTTCTGTTTAGCTACAGACAATCATTCCCACTTAACGATCACTCGTAACTGCGCTCTAACCCTTTAACTCCCGTGAGTGACCAAGACAGAATTTCTCTTTACAACATCAATACAATATCAACCAGATAAGTGATGAGAATAAAGAAAAATATCAATATGGGGAAAATTAGTTGATCCAATATTAAATTCCCAGAACTAACATCATAAGAATTGTATGGTTGACAGTAAGGAGAATGATAAATTTGGTCAGGGAGATAAAGGGTTAAGGCCTTGACTCCCGAATTTAGAACCCGCTCTTACCATGGAGCGCGAGAGTAACTATGTGATCTTTAGCTAGGAGTAAGAAAACTATGCTTAATATTCATTGTTCAATGCTAATGTCTGTTCAGCGCCTGACCCAAGTTTACAGCTTCGAAATCCGCCTTGAACATGGATGCAGTTGGCTGTTTGACACTGATTTCGTCGGCCAGTGTTGCTCAACTTGTAAGCGAAGGAATCAACTAACGAGTGTATTAGGTAAATTTCGGCTCGTCACAGTTCTGGGAATTCTTTTTTTTTAAGGTGAAAGTCTCCTGTTCTACACTAGGTACAAAAATTTGCATTCTTGTAAATAATTTATCATATATTTTCTTTCTTTAGTTTTTTACGAGACAGTTTCAAAGGTGACCTCAACAGTGTCCAATTTGTTGTAAATCTGGTATACAAATCGAGCACCTTGAATAAAGCGCTTATTCCACGAATTTTAAAGCTAATTATTTTTTTTAATATCTCAGAATACCCTGTTGACAACAATGATTACAATGAAATTTCATTAACGAGTTACGATTTTTTTTAAAATAAAACTTACACCTAACAAACGTTTCACAAAAATTCGCAATTTTGATCGTAACTAAAGATAACAGCTGCTGGACGTGTGTTGTGATGAGCGGACTATCATAGTCACTAGGCGAGAGTTTAGTCTCACCTCATTTTCATCTTGCAAACACGCGATTTAAATTTTCTCTTTTGAAATCACTTTTCGAGATTATGCAGACTCGCTCACGATTACGAGGTCTGTTTTGGTGCCGTCCATGCCTTAATCGAACGATGACATCAGTCCAAGTCAAATTGTAAATAATGTATATATACTATTCAGTTCCGGCATTGAAAGAGTTGAATCGATCATACTATGCGTGGGCTGTCACCATGATGACTTAATTCTTGAACATTATTGGTTGGGAGAATGGCATGAGAGTGGCTTGACGATCTCGTGATTTAGAAAACACACGATTTTAAGATCGACGAGTTTTGCTATCTTACATCATTAATCCCCAGCCATGGAGTTGTTGCTATCAGAATATCTGACCTTCGAGAATATTATTTTCTCTGTCGTTTTGTTGCTGATTCTTAATCAACTGATTGAGCTTTATCAGTTTAGAAGCATGCCACCGGGACCTCGTTTGACAAGTTTGCCGTTAGTAGGAAATTTGATGAGCTTTGATTCAGGGGAAAGTTTCAGTGAAGTAACAGCAAGGTTTGTCAGTTAATGCTGTAAAATTAGCGTTTCAAAGTAGATAACTGCCTTATCTACTTCGCGTATTTTTCTACCAACTAAACACTGTCTAGCTACATCTGTTTGCTTGATAGTGGTTTACTTTTAAATTAAAAAATCGAGCCGTTTTCTTTATTATTTATTATTCTTTTATTATTTTTAAACTGGGTCCTTTGCAAGCGAGTGACATTATTGTAAACTTGAAATCAATTACACCGAAGAAAGGATCTGTTATCCTTTCTTGCATATCTTTAGTTTGTGTGGTTAATCGGTCGTCACACAACACATAACTCACACACTGTGTTACGGTAGTTTCTTGGAGTTCCATCTCTTTTTTGCCTTTCTTAAACCTTAAATATTCCATTTCTTTGTAGCATGAGGGGAAAATACGGCACAGTATATTCTATGAAGGTTGGAAGTTACAAACTCGTAGTTGCCGAAGATCCAGCATCAGTGAAGGAGGTGCTCGTCAAAAAATCGGCTGATTATGCTGGAAGACCTCCGTTTCACAGCTATATGATTGACTCACTTGGTAAATTGTTTAACTTACAGATTTGTTCTACTTAATGGAAATCTTTGAGATAAATCACCCTTGTTCATTTGCTTCCTTGTTTGTTTGTTTAGTTGTCACTGAGATATATTAGCACTAAAAACAACAGATGCCGTTTCTTACGAGCTTAAATGGCCTAAGCACGACGACTTTTTCTTGCAGTAACGGTACAAGATCTCATTGTTAATTCTCCTTAATTTTTGTTTGCCATATAGTTATTTGGATGTTAGTTTGAATGATTTCATATTGGATCAATTATAATCTCCTATTTGGCATCTTTCCTCACTCTCAACACTTGTCTGCTTGATATTATTGGGAGATATTCTGTTTTGGTTATTCGTGGGAGTTAAAGGGTTTAATGTACGAAACAGAGTTGTGTCATCTGTTGTTTCTTTACAAACTTATAAAACAAGGCGCTTAATTTTAAGCGCGGCAAAAAGCACCTCGTTGTACGTGTCCAAGTGACAAGACACAATCATATGATTTTATCTTTAGAGGAATGGTGCCACCCTATTTAAATGCATTAAACAGAGTATTGCCATATGCTAATTCACTAATAACTTGTAAAATAAAGAGATACTTTGTTTAAAATTTCTCTTCACGGCTATATGACTCTCTTCAGGTGGAAAGGATATTGCTTTGGGAAACTATGGTCCAGCCTGGAGATTTCATCGTAAGCTCTTCATGACGGCTATCAGGCAGTACTTGTCCGATCAAAAATTGGTGGAAGATAGCATCTCAGAGCAGGTGATAAGGCTTATGCAGTACTTTGAGGATCAAAATGGAAATGACTTCGACCCTGGAAAGATTTTCATGGAGAGCGTTGCAAATGTGATAGGTCGAATCACATTCGGAAAGCACTTCGACTCGTCTCATCCAGATTTTGAGGAACTCTTTCAGTTGAATAACCAGTATTTTGCTGACACTGAAACAAGCAATCAGCTTTTTGTGTTAGATTTCTTTCCGATAACCAAGTACCTTCCATTTCGCGCCTACAAATCAGAGCAGAAAATTTCGGACCGAATGTTTGAAATTCTCCGCCAGCAGTTAAAGATTCAAGAAAATGAGTTCGATCCAAAAGTAGACATTGGGAACCTCATCGGAAATCTTCTGAAAGAGAGGATTGCTGCTGCGAATGAGGTTGGTGCAGAGGAGAGAGCATCCATCCTATCAGACGACTACATAATAAACACCGTGGGAGATATGTTTAGTGCTGGTTATGAGACTACTAGTACCACCTTACGTTGGGCCATTGCCTACCTTGTCCACCATCCTGAATGCCAGAGGGATGTGCAGAGTCAGCTGGATGACGTTGTCGGAAGAGATCGCATGCCAGACCTGGATGATCGTCCAAATCTTCCTCTTGTTTTGGCCACAATTATGGAAACATTGCGCCTCGGAAATGTTGCTGAGACAGTTCTTCCACATTACACTCTGAGCGATACTACATTGGCTGGTTATCGCGTTCCGAAGGATACTGTTGTGATGACCAACCTAATGGCCGTCCATCTTGATCCAAGCCTTTGGGAGAACCCAAACTCATTTGACCCTAGTCGCCATATTGACTCTGATGGCCAACTTATCACCAACTCTGGCAATTTTCTGCCCTTCTCAGCTGGACGCCGGGTTTGTGCTGGCGAGGCCTTGGCAAAGGTGAGACTTATTTCTCTTGTCTTTTATGATTACCTGAATAAGTTGTTCTTAATTTTAGTTCTCTTAAAGTATTTGCGCAAAGAAAATTTGTCCAAAAACGATGTTTGTTGAAGTGTTTATTAATAGAATCTTGTAAAGACCGCTTCACGAGACACATTATTATTATTAGTAGTAGTAGTAGTATCATTGAATTATTTCTTCAAATACATATACAAAATTTTTGTGCATTTTTGTTTCTTTCTTTCAAGGTGGAGCTGTTCTTGTTCTTGTCCAGGATGCTTCATAGATTCACATTTCTGCCATCGGAGGATGGCAATCTCCCGGATCTGAAAGGAAAATATGGTCTGACTCGCTTTCCAGCCGCTTACAAAATTAGGGTTGTAAAACGCCGGTAACAGGATTTTAAGGATAAACTATTGGTGTGAAACATATACGCTTTTGAATAGCCTTTGGCTAAACATATAAACAATAGAAAATAAACAATGGCATTAGAAGCTATGATTTTTTTCCTCGATCTTGGTATCTCCATCTTTCGTGAAAATAAGAATTATTTTCATTTAACTTGGTAATTTCATCCCAGTAGTGGTTTATCTTGTTAGCGGTAATTGATAGAGTGCATGCTTTGAAAATTTTAGATAAAAATAGCCTTAAATGAGGTTTGAATACAGAACCTGTTTCCTTACGTAGTAAATTTAGGATACAGTTATAATTAAAATAACGCAGAGGTCTATTTTTTTTTGCGAGTGATATCGTTATTGTACGACTGGCATGTACTTTCTGAAAGGGAAAACATTAACAACACTATTTGGGACAGGTTTTGATCGCTTGACCCATAATCCCTTTTCAGGTAGAGAATTGCAACATTAACGCTTAAAAGATTCCATCATCGCCGGGTTTTGCGCTCGTATTTGACTAGTAGCCTCTTGGAAGTCTAAACACTCTCCGTCTTCTCCTCCTGCTGTTTCTTTCACTCCAGCTTGGCCCAGTGAATCGATCAATTGACCACCTTACAATATTGTAACAAACAAATTACTATTGAAATACTTTGACATTTGGCATTAAGAGGGGCTTAAGATGGTCGCGCAAAATATTTGCACATTGCCCTAACCTGAGGTAACTGACCTGGGCTCACCTTCGGATCAGACTTACCTAACACTCCGTGGCTGCTCGATCCTTGAACGCTTCCAATTTACCTACTGGTATCAGCATGGTAAATTACGAATACAGGATCAACACGTCATATTTCAGACGTTGATTTG